TGGTGGTAATGCTCTATTTGAATAAATGACTCCCAGTGTTCACAGTGTGAATAAAATGCAGCTTTACCTGATGATTTTGGAAGGAACTCTGTAAGTTTCTCTGCTTGTCCGACTGAACGTGATGTTGTGTTTCTGCAGGACCAGCTGCTGTTCTGTGATGACTGCGACCGAGGCTACCACATGTACTGTCTAAGTCCCCCCATGACTGAACCACCGGAGGGTACGCTGACACCCAACACTTTACTGCAGAAGTTAACAGACTCTAAGGACGTGTGCATGTTGTTATCCGTCGCTTATATCATCACTTTGTACGGGGTTAAAGGCCTGTTCACTCAACCATCTGGTCTGATCGGCTGCTCTTCTGAGAATTTGAAAGTTCTTAAGTTAATGTTTTCTTTAGAGGTCTGCTGCACATTGGTAGTTTTCCAAGCTTCAGGGAGCAGCTAAATAAAAGCCTTAGTCCATGTTAATTAGGATTGAGAATCATAAGGAAAATGTCATAGCTTTTGGTAAAAGTCACATTAAATACTCTGATTTGTGGTGACTAAGGAAGCATAAACAGAATGGCTTTGATTACAGGAGAGAATTCCCAGCTGAGTTTTAAATGCTTATAATTTAAAGCTGCAATAATTTAAACATTTTCTATAATAATGTATCAAATGAACACATTAAAACAATTATAAAGGGGTAGCTAAAACAACTCATAACTGATGTGATATTTAAATTTGTAGAAACTTAAATTTCTGAAAAAACAATTAATCAGCAGATATTTTTTTCAGTTGATTGTTGAATCTAATCTAAAGTCTTTCAAAAAAGAGAACTGAGAAGACGAGATCCCAGACGCCCACGATGGTGTCTTCAAATGTCTTGTTTTTGCAGTCCACAAGCCAAATATATTTGATTTACAACAATATAAAATAAAAAGAGCAAATCATCCTATTTGAGAATCTGGAAACAGAGAATGCTTTTATTTTGTATATTCAGGTACAGGACAAAGAAATATCACTGTAGGGCACAAAGGAAAAGAAGTCTTCTTCAGGCCCAAAGAAGATCTTACAGATCGAAACGTTGCCTTAAAAGAGAAAATGGAAATATTTATTTCTCCTTACTGCTTGTTCTTTGACATAAAATACATCAAGTGTTTGAGCATTTAGTTTCATTCAGTGTAAGCATCTTATTGCATTCTCTACATGTGAAGTGTGGAACATATTTAAAAGGAACTTTGTTGTTTGTTTAGGAGATTTTAATGATTACACTCCAGTTATCTTCCCTAAATGAGGTGCTATGATGTTCGCAGACAACAATAATAGGAACCAGTATTTCCTCACAGTGACGCTGATGATGTATTTCTACCACCCGTGGCTCTTAAGCCCTGCCTCACTGTGTTTGTGTGTTTTACAGGGAGCTGGAGCTGTCACTTGTGCCTGGCTCTGCTGAAGGATAAAGCCTCCATATACCAGCAGAACCAGAGCTCCGCCCCCGAGTGACACCATATCACCAAGTCCCACCCCCTCAGTAACGGGACCCCAACCCCCGATGGAAAACGTCAGACCTCCTCTCAGTCCAGAGCTCCAGGCTCCGTCCAGATGTAGCTGAGCCAGATCGCAGATCAGCTTTAGAAGTCTTAATATCTACAGCGTCAGTGGGGGGATCAGTCAACATGGGGATCAAACTATCACTACCAACCTGCCTGCCGAGCCCCCGAGGCTTGCCGTCAAACACATACATATTGTGCGTATATACAGTATAGACACACACACTCTCTCCTGGACTGTTACACACACACACTAGATACAGAGACAGAGAGCATGCAGTAACCATAGTAACTGCTGTCTCCATGGGAGCTCCCAGGAGCAAATGGATTAGCATCACAGCTAATTATCTGCACCCTTTCACACTCTCAAAGACGCAGTGTGGACTGTCGAGACAACACAGTTTCTTTTCTGCCAAATTATCTATTTTTACTCCCTGAGTGTGGGAGAAAGAAAATATCACCACGTATACGGTTGAGGAATATTATTATTACTATTGTTATTGTTCTGGTTACTAGTGGACTTTTGTAGTGGCATTTGTCTGTGTACTTTTGTCTGATTGGAGCGTTTTATCTTTTGAAGAGGTTTCCTCCCCTAGGGGAGCCGGTCAGTGCCAAGGTCCACCATCATATGTAATACACAACAACAACGACCCACGGAGCTTTTCATCAATCACATAAACCATCGTTGTTTTGTTTTAAATCAGTGGGACAAAGACGGGAAAACAAAGTCTTAATTTTTGCCAACAAAAAAAATAACGTTGGCTTTTACTCATCAAGCTGTTAGCACAAAATGTTTGGCCTTGATACTTAACGGTTGCACCAAAACCAACTTATCATGGCTGGTTCTGTTACTTTAACCAACCACTACACAGCTGAGCATCATACTGTTCATATAAAACATTCAGTGTAACATCAACATTCATTCTTCAACATCATTTCTCCATCAGACAGAGCTACCGGTCTCTTATTTTGAAAAACCCTGACTTTTGATAAGTCAGACCACGCTGTTGGAACCAGACTGCTGTAAGTCCGATACATGAAACTAGTAATCACAGAGGTGCATCCTTTTCTCAACGACGTTTTGTGCTAGCCTTTTAGGAACTGTTAGGCAGTGACATCACTCTCCACAAGTCAGCCGCTGTCGAACCGACGACACGGGATCATTTTCAAACTGTAGCTGCTTTTATCATTTGTCACACTGAGGCAGATTTTGCATGCAGATTGCACCTGTATGAATGCGCACACACACACACACACACACACACACACACACTCACACTCACTCATCACAAGTGTTTTTGTTGTGTTGTTTGTATTTTTTTTTTTTTTACATTTTATATTACCTGATATTCCATTGGTACTGGGAGTTTTTTCTAGTAGAATTTTGTAAAGTCTATGGTATAGCAAACACTTCAAGTATATAGCTCCTAATGCATTCTATGTACTGTATTGACTTTTTCTATTTTTGTTATGACTGTGACATGTTTGAATTTATTTGATTATTCTGATATGTCAGACCTCCATTATGAGTATTTGTAAAATTATGTACTTTGTTGTACTATTTTTATTTTTACATTTCTTTGGTATTGAAGCCGATTTAGCCTGACTGAAATAAAAATCACTTTGAAATACGTGTCCATTGTAATTGCTTTAAATACATAATTTCTAGCATATTGTATTATTATAATGTATAATGTAGATCATATGTATTTTTAGATCCTCTGCACTGCAGATTTAAATACTGCGTTATTTCTGTGGGCGGGGCATCGGGTGGTTTCTGTTCACACTCCCAAATAATTTTAAAGATCAGCTACAGACGTATTAAGACATACTGAAATAGCTTGGAACAATACGTTTTTAATGCAAAAAAAAAAATTCCTACATAAAAAGGCATCTACTCATTCTATGTCAATAACAATTCAAGAATCTATGAATATTTCTGAAGTTTTCCTCACCTTCCGGTTCCAAGTGTGTAGGAAACCACTTCAATAGGCCTTATCTAGAACCAGTGCTTGAGTTCCCCACTCTGGATGGAAAACACAATTCTTATATTCAGGTGATTATACACTAATGAAAATTCCATTTCTACCAATAGATCCTTATCAATGTTACACACTGGACCTTTAAGTATCAAAAATGGAGGAACTCACAGCTGTAAAATGTTAAAAAAGTAATTGTGGACAGTGTGGAGATCCCAGGAAGTGTTAAAAAAAACATTAAACATGGATGTTGTTTTACATCTACTTCCTCTTATTTTCCACGTCAGTTGTGTTTGTCTTCCACTGCTGAGGCTGAAAATGCTTTCAGGGACAAAGGTTCATATGATTATATAATGGTATTATCAATGTGTTTGATTCATCTCAGGGAAAAGATCTATTCAGACAATGATCCTTCTGTGTGTTTGTGGCAATAGACCAGAGTCTGCAGGTCGTATGACCATGTTGCCTCTGAAGTAGATGAAGTCCTCTAGTCTGACCCAGCAGAGACCTACGTACAGTATACAACATGTTCTGTATTGAGTTGTGAATATTCATGTTTTATATATATTTCTTGAAAACGAAGTAGTAGTTTTTCTGTAGCTAAATGGCGTCAGCACTGTTTCAACACTTTCTTTGATGTATTGCGTAATGACTGCTCAGTAGTGTTTATATATTTACTGAATATATTCTTAAAGCATCAGTTGATTTCGAGCGCAGAAGCAGTTGTTTGATTTTACCTCCAGAGTCAGATGATATTTTGTGATTGTAGTTGGAAGCTTTGGTTTTTTGTTTACAGTTTTGAGACAAGAGTGTACGTTTTCAAGAAATGTGCCTTTGTGTGATTCTTTATCGGGTTGAGCTCTGGCAGTGAACAGTATTACATTATTTTTTCATTGAAAGTGTACATTACCTGCAGCATAAAGCTAATCTATTTCCTCCCATGAACTATCTGCTCTGCACTGGGATCAAGTATTAATCACAAAGACAAGACCAGGTTAGCAAATAAAAGGGCATTCTTCTTCAGTACAACTCAAACTGGTAGGAAAACGTAGTGCTTTGGTTCCTCATGTGTTGCTCAAATTCTTATCACATTTATTTTAAGGTCCAGTGTGTAACATTTAAGGAGGCTCTACTGTCAGAAAGGTAGAAAGGTATCATTTCATTAGTGTATAATCACCTGAATATAGGAATTGTTGTGCTGTTTTTATCTACAGACACCGCGGGTTGCTATGGACCACCATATTTCTACAGTAGCACAGAGCGGACAAACACTGGCTATGGATAGGGTTCTTTCACGGTTCTCCTACACACTTCACAGCCTGCTCTCATTCCTCATACAGACGCCAGCTGCTGCAATCTGCAACTTCACCGCTAGATGCCACTAAATCCTACACACTGGTCCTTTAAGTGCAAGTGAAAGAAATGTCAGAAAAGATAACAATTAGGGTTTGAATCAGCATCGGACAGACTGACGCAGGAGAGAAACCTCACAGAACGAAACGGTTTAATTGCACTCAACAACATACACTCAAGGACTCTCTCCAAACACAGACATATAAAAACACCTTTGCGGCATACAGTCGCCTTTGTTCCAGCACAAAAACACCACCTCCGTGCTGAGAAGCTTTTTAGGAAAGAGAGGGGGGGGGGCCTACGTTCTGTACAAGGCCAAGACAACAGTGGTTTAGTGCAATTATCTGGAGCGTGATGATCAGCCATGCTATGCTGTTTACAACTACAGACACAAAGGCGTGATGAAAACGCAACATTAGGTAACCGCACGCACTGAGAAGCAACTATATAAACTTACACGTATCATCATCTGGTCATTGAGGTTACTTGTGGCAGTCGTAAAGTATTAATAGGTAAACTAACACACTTTTGGGGTTCCTTACACAATATTCTTGGTTTCAGAATACAAATTCAATACTTTATAAATTTGTTGTGAGACATAGTGCATTATCAGTTGGCTTTGATTTCACAAAATCTGGGCTGCTCGGTACAAAACTATGTAAAATACTCGTTTATCAAAGGTAAACAATGCAGCTTTCAGGCAGCCGTCGTCGCCGTGACGCTGCTCCAACACGTACATCCACCGTGAAATGAAATGAAAATTGGTCTGTCCCTACAGTTGATTGAATAATGGCAGCAGAAGGTGGGAAAACGAGGTCGGACCACTTGTTTGTTGTATGACTGTGCGTGGTGAGTGTGTGTGGGTGTCCTCTACAGCCTCTCGAAGCCGATAGAGCAGAGGAGGAAGATGGCGTAGAGCAGAATGAGGCAGAGTCCCAGCCTGCGGTCCAGCCTCCAGCAGTTCAGATGGACACACAGGACCTGAGGAGGGATGGACAGAAAGAGAGAGAGAGAGCGCTTAATTTCCTGTTGCACTGCCCTAAATAGAAAATCCCCCGAGGACAGGAAGTCGCCGGGGCTCTCAGGCCATGACAGGAAAAAAGATCAGGTAAAGAAAAACAAGATGGTTTGCTCCTGTCACACTGTGAGAAACTATTTGATTAAACAACTGAATGTTAACAGTGATGAGCAGAGATGATGAAGATGTACTCACTGTGAGTATGACTGAAGCCAGTAGCAGAATCACTGAGTACACCAGGCCTTTGCTGTTGATCGTCACCTAAAAACCAGAGATGATTAAACATTAATGTTCAGTTAAATCCGTGTCTCCAGTTCTTTGAATTTTAAAACCTGCTGACTCTCTGGCCTAAACAGGGGGAAAGTTGGACAACCCCCAGAAGGATGTTGCTTTGATTTTAGCGTCACGGGTCGGGGATTGTAAAGGCAGAGAAAGCGGTTGGTGTTACCACTGATCCGTAGCTGACTATGAGAGTCCTCAGCGCCCAGGGGAAGCCCAGACCCAGCAGCACATCAAAGATATTACTGCCAATGGAGTTGGACACAGCCATGTCGCCCATCCCTGCAACATTTCACATTCAGATAAACACAAAATGGAATTCATGTGAAAATATGTACATTAGACATCAAACAGCTTATGATTTTGCACATCCTCATTACACATATAGATACACCATAGTGTAGCAATTTTCACTTTTACATTGTATTAATCAAGGATATCTGTAACTCTGAGGTAGACTCACAGCCACAGTGGTAGACTGGTTTCAGGCCTCTCTGGTTTAACCAGTGTTGTGTCCCTCATGATCTCTCCCTTCCTAACTGTGTCTCTCTTGTGCCTCAAGCTCGTTCCTCCTCTGCCACCTTTCATGCATCTACACTCTGCTCATGCCATCCACCCTTGCTCCTCTGTATTCCATGTCATCCCTGCAGGGTTATTGAATAAACCCTCCTAACTTCATTGTGCCTCTGTCTGTGTCCTGCGTTTGGGTCCACTGTGTACTACTGTAACACCATAAAAGTGTTGTGTTGTAGAAAACAACCCACACATCAAACTTCCATTAAGATGGAATATAAAGGTGATGATGGGCTGATGCTTTCCAGCAAGAGAGATTAAATATGGCAGAAACTATTAATCAAACTGTCTATCTTAAGTTGAGGAACACTGTATGTTATATATGTCGGTCCCTCCAGGATTTCACTGGCTCTTTGTGATTGTTGAGGCCTAAAATACCCGATTTCACAGCAGTTTTTCTAAAAAAAAAAACGTGATGCATGTTGCAATGTTTTGCAGAGAAAGTTATAAAAACACAAAAATAGATGTGATTCTTTTTGTATGCTTCATAAAAAGAAATGGCAACTTGCAGTGAGAATAAAATCGCTAGTTTGGTGACGTATGGCTCAATGTTTTTGCGAGGAGTACTGCTATGATTGGCAAAACTTATGGGAAATATTCCAAATCAGTTTGACACAACAATCATTTACCAGCTTTTTCCAGAGCTTTAAACCGCTGTTGATTCCACCCTCTGATGTGGTTTAAAGCTCTAGAAAAAAGCTAGTAAATGGACCTTCAGTCTTTTGTCAAACCAGTATGAACCTCCACACTTAATATTCTGATTCATATTTGTAACATAAAAGTTGGTGTAAATGGTTATAATCAACAGTGTAAACACACACAAACACACACACCTTGTCGAGCGACGATGAGGCTGGCTATACAGTCAGGGACACTGGTGCCGGCTGCCAGAAAAGTGATGCCCATGATGACTTCTGGGATTCCAAGTGTGTTGCTGATTATGGTCACCTGGACAGAAGCACAGAGGAAAGAGGCTGTGTGCGTGTGTGTGTGTGTGTGTGTGTGTATATTATATATATAAGTGTGTGTTTCCTACCATCCAGACCATGAGGTAGGAGAAGAGAGCTATCCAGAGCGTGGAGGACAGGAAGGTGAGCAGGTACCAGCGCTCCCACCGCGGCAGGCTACAGTCGGGGACGGTGCAGTAAAGCAGGATGCTCACGGGCCAAGAGATCAGCCACTTCAGACGCACACACCAACCATCTGAGGAACACACACACACACGCAGACACATACACGCGTTTCCCCACAGGGATCATTACAGATTCATCTCAACTTCTAAATGATTCATGCGGCACGGCCCTGTGTCTGTGAGCCTTCATCCCCGTTTAATTAGCTCCATTAGCAACGAATCCTTCTCCAACACTGGAAAACATCACAAGTAGGTGGAAGCAGAAGCTTTTTATTCTTCCACCATAAATGTTTCCAGTTAGAGAAAACTTATTTCCTTTGTTTTTCCTCTCTTCTATCAGGAGTCATACTTTTTCTGCCTGGTACAACTGTCTAGGGTGTTACAAGGAACTTTCCCAGGGGACCAAGAAGCTATTGGGAACGTTATCTGCATTTTTACAAAAGGATTCAGGGACTAAATTTAGTTGCAGGTGCCAAAATAGTTCCTGTTGAGGAACCGTCACAGCAGAGACATTCATGACATCAACTCAACATCTGTGATGCATCATCTGATTCATCTTATCTTCACCCATCTTCAGACTTTTAGTTCCTTTTCATTGTTTCTGGAACTATTTGATCAAAGTGTCACTCACCTGGCAGGACGAAGGGCTTGAAAGGAACATTCTCATCCTCTCCTTCCTCCTGCTCTTCCTCCTCCTCCTCTTCCTCTTTAGGCTGCGCTCCCCCGCCTGTCTCTCCCCCAGTCTCTTTACCCCTCTCCCTCTCTCCCTCCAGTGGCTGCGTGTCTCCCTCGGCCACCGTCCCGTTCTCCCTCCCCCCCCACGGCCCGTTAGTGCCCACGCCTTCCTCCCCTGAAGCTCCCCCCTCCTCCGGGCCGACCCGGGCACGAATCAGCCTCTGCCTCTGTGGGTGGGGAGGGATTATGGGGTGAAGTCAGATAAAGGAGACAAGGGATTGGGAAAAAAAAGAAAGAGGAAAGTGAAATGACATGAGAAACACTGCAGTGGGCTTATGTAAATGACTTCGTCTGACTGTAGCTGACAATATGAGAACTGGCAGGAGGAGTGATCAGGCAGCCAGGAGCATTCATCAGTGGGCATTTGGAAAGCATTGATCAGGGGCACGGCACAGAGAGGCGGGCAGCACTGGCAGTCGCACTTTAATTTGGCACTGGAAAAGGCAAGCACACATGCAGGAGAGCGGAGAGTGGAGAAGCAGATTTGAAGATTGAGTTTCTTGGGGGGCCTTTTGTGTTTGGGATAATAATATGCATTAGGCAGCAGTCTGTGTGTGTCTGTGTTACTTTGTGGGCTTATCAGATGACGTCCGTCTAACGACAGCAAACAGAACTGAAGCACAAATCAATCTCCCCATCGGTTTGTCTACCAGCAACTCTTACTATATCAATCATTACCAAACATAACAAATCAATAAGGTAACTACTATAAACAAATAATACCATCACCAAGCTGAAACGGTAGCCTTGAAACTCATATTCTCTTATTATTAAACAGCATTTTAATCAAGTTGGACATGTTAACTATATAATACAATTATTATTTTCATGGTAAATGAGTCATACGTTAGCTTGTCAGTTAGTTTAGTATAAACAGGTATCATTGCCAACTGCATGAATACTAACTACGAGATTATTACACTAAGCAAAACCCCCTTAAACAGTTTTCAGCAGTTATGTTACAGCTCGTGATGCTACATTGACTTCCTTAACTTTTATTGGAGCAACCCAACTGAGTAAATCACTGCTTTGAAATCAGCCAGTAGTTACTAAGAACTTAGGGAGAACTTTACGACACAAACTCGGGACTGCTTTATGAACAGATCCTACGAGCGTGATCCTTCATTAAATTTACAGAACTTTTAAATTTTTTAAAATGTGGCACATGCACATTTAAATACCCACCGAACTAGCCGTAAACAAAAAAAAAAACAACCCAGGGGAACTTGGCTTTATGTTGTTGAGCGCGTGCAGGGTACCTCATTGATGATCATGCGTCCTGCCATGCGCAGGCGGGTGAAGGGGGGGAAATGCGGGGTGATGAGAAGGCGGAGGCTTGCCTCTGAGAAGGAGAGTTGGTGGGGGTGCAGGTTAAGCATCTCATCCACCATCACCACCCCTGAATCCTGGCCAGCCACTACACAGGAATCTGGGGAAAGTTGGGGGAGGTGGATAGAGGTTAGCAGGAGATAAAAGTGAAAAGGAGAGGATAGAAAGACAAAAGAGAACAGAGTGATGGAGAGACATCCATCACAGTGCTCCAGTTCTATTTCAGCCTGTTGAAAATCCACAGGGGAACAGAAATGGGTTTGACTGGCAGCCTAAACTGTGTCACTAGGTCTGTTGAATGCTGCTCAGAGACGGAGACTTTTTGATGTTTTGGATGTACGCATGCACTTGCACAAAAACAAGCTCCTGCACCTGGCTTCAGCGGCACCATGTCATTGTCACAGTCTCCGATGCTTCCGACCGCAGTGGTCCGACGCAGGCTGCTCAGACACGGCTGACCTGCCCTGCTGCAGTGTCTCTCTACCAGGCTATACAGAGAGCTGTTGAACCTACACAAGAGACAACACACACACACATTAAGATATTGTGTCTTTTGTGGGTACAGAACGGGCGGTGGCTTGATACCAACGTTACGGAAATGTGAAGAGGAGACTCACTTCATGATAATTATGTAGATTCCATACATGGAGATCAGGATGATGGTCTCCCACCTGGAACATGCAGACAAACGCCAACATAGATTCAGAAATACCACCATCATTACAGTGACACCAGCTATCTTACAAACAACAGAGGCTGTAAAGAGTTTCATTACAGTCTTACCACATGACTTTTTCATCATAGATCACCTGCAAATAAAATCAAAATATACTTTATCAAAGGAACATAACAAATGTGATTGATTAGCTAATATCAGCCATTATATTGACTACTATTTGCTCTTCACAGATACGATATGGTTATCTGCGTGTTCCAAGAAATTGCAGCACAGATATGTTTCAGAACTTCTCTCTACTGGTACTGTGCTGCAATACTGTAGTTTGTGGTCTTGCGAGTAAGTAAAAATTACAATAGAATCCACTTTATTTACTCTAGTCTTTCAGGCTTGACTGGTAAGTATAGGCTGCACTTCATGTGTAAAGCAAATTAATTTGCTTGCTTCAATGATTTTGCCAATACAAAATTAATTCCCTGCCAAACAGAGAAAAAGAGTCCGGTGTGAACGTTCTGATTTTACTGGAGGATTTCTCACCAGGATGAGCACCACTATGGAAATGATGTAGAAGACAGAATCACGAAACAAAGGCCACCAGCTCAGAATGATGGGCTGGAGAGAGAAGACACACATCAAATAGCTTAGGATGTAATCATATGACCACTGTCTGGGCCAGAGGGTTTTACACTGGCAAGACAAAAAAGATTTTTATGTGTAATGAGTTTTCAGATTTGTAATTTGTTCTCTTTTAGTTCAGAAAAGGTGAGGTTAGTCCTCCTTTTAGCTTCAGTGTACCTGTCCAGAGAAGATGCCACAGATGCCGATGATGACCAGGATGTTAAAGACAGCTGATCCTACAATTGTTCCCACGCCCACGTCTCCTTTTGTGATAAACACCCCTTAAAAGACACAGAACAGGAAAGACTGAGCCATAAATCATCAGCAGAAATGTATTTGATGTGACAATCTGTAAGAAATGATGGATGGCGTCTCCCTCCCATTCATAAAAGTGCACAAAGTTACACATACTATCTTTCTCCTCCGAGCAGAAATATTGCATCTTCTATTTATAACCACAGGGGCTGGGCAGATGTTTTTATCTTATGCTACTGATTGACAGATTTGCTTCATATTGCCTACAGTCACTCCAGTTCTTATCAAAGCCAAACTTTTTTTTGCCTTTGTGAATGAAATATATTATTTCAGAGGCGATATATGAGAAAATATCCTTAAGCCACATGGATGTATAGGTTTCAGTCTTATAAGTCATGTTTCAAGTCCTTTTTAATAAACGTGTATGATGATTTTCGCCTCTGTTTTATATCAGTTTTCAAATACTGTGAATGAGCCTGATGAGCCTTCATTTATCTAAACGTTATCATCTAAATCCACATTTACTGAAACAATACCTGCTTTCTGAAGAACAAACAACGTGTGAGAATATCTGGACCACGGAAGTCATTTGCTGGTGAGCTGGCACACCATCAAGATAAAATGAAAGGCACTCTTCTCGTTGTCTTTCTTCACGCCTACTTTAATGCTTAAAATTGGCCAATCATGCATTCGCCTACATACACTCAGACCTAATCAGGAGAAGATGCATGTGAGTGCACTTAACTGGAGCGCTAATGGAGCAATCGTTGGGTTACCGATTAGAGGGAGTAACTGATTAGAAGAGCATCGTACTGACCAATCAAAGAGGTGAAGAGCTCGGGGGCGGAGCTCCCAGCTGCCATGAAGGTTGCCCCGGCAACATCCTGACTGAGCTGAAGGTTCTAGAGGACGGACGTGAAAGAGTTTGAATAAATTAAATGATAAAGCTGGTGATATTTTTCTTACTGACAACAAATCCCAAATCAATGGATTGATCCTACTGACACCTGGTGTCTGTGTATCAGAAGCCTGATACAGCCATAGACCTCCATTGTTGTCTCCAATGAGCCACACTGTTGCACTGGCTGATATGTTCCTTTATTACAATGAACACTGGTACTGTAGTGATCTGATAATAGTCTCCAACAAATGCACTGTTTACTCAATTTAAAAACTAAACAATAGATTTGTAATTTGTTATTAAAGATTTGTGTCTTCAGTCAGAACAAATGTCCTTGCGGCTGGAGAAGGTAGTGACAGATAGACTAATGCATTGTAGTTTGTCTTTTTATGGGACATGTAGACAATAAGAAAATAAAGAATACCTCCATTCTTATCCTTTAAAGGTCAGAGAAAAAGAAAAAATAAACAGAAGTCTGGCTGTTTTCTACCAAAATAAAAAGACATTATTTTATTCTCAACCACATGAAATGTGTCTTTAATTCATACCTCTGATACTTTTTCCAGTGATGGCACAAAATAAACATCACAGATGATGGCCAGAGCGTGAAACATGTAGATAGCCTGTGAAATACAGGAGACACATGATTGGCCACATTACTTATACAGCGTATGAACCAAATAAAGCTTCTTTCATTTCCAATTCTGGCTTTCAGGCAGAGCTGATACTCACACAGAGAACATGAAGGAGTACCGCTCCGTGTCTCCTCTGCTCCAGAGTAAAGACGTCTTCGGGAAAATCACTGACAGCTGGAGGAGAGATGGACAAAGAGTAACCTAACGATGCATACAATGACAGAACATCCAATAGCAGATTAACCGATTAGTCAATGCACAGAAGGAAAAAATAATAATCTGTATTCTCATAATTAATTAATAATTTAAGTCATTTTGTAAGCATAAAATGTCAAAGATTCCCCAGTTCCAGTTTCTCACATTGAAGATTTGTTGCTTTTCTATCTCTCCAATGACTCCCTGTCACTTTAAGAACTGATTGATACAATGCATTACATGGTCATGCTCCTCTGTATTCTAAGGACTTGTTAGGCCCTTTGACTCCTGAGAGGATGCTCAGGTGTTCAGGGACTTCAAGGCTGAAAACTAAAGCTGATCATGCTTTTGCTGCTGTTGCTACTCGACTCTCACAGAGTGTCAGAGAGGCTAAATCATATTATAATGTTTACTTTTGTGGGTTATATACTTGTTTCTCCTTGTTTTGTTTTTGTAATCTCTGACTCTTCTCCATCTTTCCCTTTTCTTCTTCCTGTAGCACTTTAAGTACTTTGTGAATTAAGTTTGTGTGCTATTCTTTGTCTTATTGTGACTGTAAACTCAATATATGTCAGTTTTAATGAATCTAATGAAAATGCCTTTAATCAGTTAATGAAGAAATATAATCAGCAGATGAATCACTACTGAAAACAATCCTTATTTACAGCTCCACCCAGTCAATTGTGTGTACGCATTTAAATGGTGTGTGTGTGTGACTTTCTTGGACATCTGTTCAGTTGTATCCCCTAGCAACAAGGGCCGAGGCGGCTTGAGGTTAAAGTGGTACCACAGTCACGTAATGAAACCACTTCAGTTGCATTATAATTGAGTTTTTCGCTCCTCTTGTGACTTCACGCTAGCTTCAGCCAGGTATTTATACTGACATTCTTTTCCAACTCTTTCCAAAAGCCCATCAGTTCCTATAAAGTCCACCTTCAGAGGCACCAGATTTGGCCGATTTTGTCAATGCGTCACAATCACCCTCCTTCCAACTGTAAGGGAGTGTTTTAAGGCCACACTGTCTGGCACATAAGCTCCAACAAATGCCACGACTCACTGCACCATTAAAAAAAAAATATATGAGGCAGTGCGAAACAATAATCTGAAAAGCTGCCTCCCAAGCGACTTCTCCAAGAAGGTTTTCTGATTCAGGATTCATAAAACCTCCACTGAAGATGAAGGTCACCAAGAAAAGTGTGACAACAGTAGATAAGAGCCTGCACAGAGGCAACATTGTGCAGTCAGAAGCTAGCATGCATCACGTGTACGGATGGAGACACAGATATACGATGACCTGTCACATGATTTTGTTTGGACACCCTGATCAAGCAGTGTATTTTTATCATCAAGAACAAGATGATGCTCTTGGAAATGGTAATTGGAAGAAAAGATCTTTGATGCACTGAAGTTAAACTGTACTGTATTTCCCAGAGGCAGTGCAGTTTTTTTTCTTCTTCCAACCTCAATATATGTAGCTCAACGTCTGTAATTGGCTACAAAATCTCTTCATCTTACATCAGACTGTAAGATGCTGTCACTGTTTCTCTCTCACCAGCCAAATAGATCCAAGCACACGCAAGCGATGAGAGAACTGCTGATGAGAGGCTACTAATCAGCAGGTCATTACGACAGGGCAGCCACTTTGAACAGCTCCAGATGCACACGCCATCCAACCACAAATACAGCATTCAGTTTCCTAGCAACCGGGTCCCCTCAAAGGCCTAACTGTGTTTAAACATCTAGATGTGCAGAGTTTGAAGAAATGAAGGATGAGGCGCAGACGTAGATCGATGCACAGAGGAGATAGACTTGGGTTTAACAGATTAATAGAGATGGGGCTCCACACTGTCACACTGCCTCTGGCACAAAACCCACACCCACACCAACACACCCACTAGTGTTACTTAAACCATCACTGTGACTTCAGATTAACTACTGCATTAATATCTAGACCTGTTAATGGGTAAAAAAAAAAAAAAGGTCCAACTCTATGCACTCACAAGTAATTTTTCTATTATTGTAAAAAGAAATAGTCTCTCCCGTCTCACACACAGCAAAATATCTCACCAGATTTAGAAATACTTTCAGTTTGGTTGTTGGCTTCTTTCAGCTGGATGATCTCTCTCTTAGAAAAGGAGATGTCATGATCCACAGTGGGTCCATGGAAGCCTAAAAAGACATATAAATACATCCACTGATAAAACATATGACTTATTATACTGTATATATGACTGTTTGTGAAATACAGTTTTGCATAACATTTACCCAACTTCAGGGTCTAACCTTTCTCTACTGTGCGGCTACAATACTCCGTTACTAACTGCAATATAACATATAATGCAATTTGCATACAAATAGACAACAGAACTAACGGATGGAGTTCAGTGGAGATTAAATTAGGACAGTTTTATGCATTTTGTGAGAAGCACCTGTAACATCATTGAAGTGAAAGACCCAGGCGGCTGCGAGCAGACCGACCACAGAGACGCAGAAACGCGGGAGGAGCCGCGTCTGCCTCGGTCTCCTCGGCGCCTTCATCCCGCCAGCCGCCGCTGCTCACCGGCTCCCCGCTCAGAACATGCCCCCGCTGGCTGCCGCTGCTCCTCTCTCCGGTCCCCCCCTTTCACACAGGACGCAACTGGCCTGTTGCTTTCTTTTTTTTTCTTCCCCGATTGATTCTCTTTCAGCTAGTTGAGCTTCGGGCTCCATCCACGGTACAGGGGGGTGTTTGATTGGACTCGGCCTGTCAGCAGCATCTCAGCAACCAGCTCCAGTCAGCGGGCATCAACGCAGCATCCACATCCACGAGCTCCAACTCCAGCAGACACGCACAGACAATGAATCATCAGCCAGCAGCTATACAGTAATATCCCTCGATTCAGACCGTCCACACATCCCCGCTGCCCTATATCTGATCCACCACCGCCCCCCTCACTCTTTATGATGTTCCGTCTGGGAGGAGGTGTTTTCCTGGAGTCACAGACAAGACCACCAGGGAGCGTCTTCAGCTGGGTGGGGCGACTGGAGAGAGGCATGGAAGCACTTCTACTAGTGCATGTAATTCAAAATGTGAAAATGTAATTTACAACATGAACAATGTCGACACTGGGAGAGACTATAATAATAAGTGATGGTCTTACTGGCAGACTGGACTGTATAAGCTATTTGTGGAGATTGTCGAGGCTGCTAAAGGGCTTTATTTTGTGGTCACTACTAATTTGGTGCAACTACACACTTTTCAACATCAGGGTCCTAATGAGTAAAGGTAGAGTGGGGGGAAACTCTGTTCATTTAAAACAACTCATCTTAAAGGATGGGAATTTATTCAAGTGCATTTTAAGACAATACTCACATGGCCATATGTACAGTGATGAGTTATTGGTTGCTGTAACTACTCTCTTCTTTAAAATGAGCTAAAGTTAATTAACAACAAATCAGTACAATATTTCTTCTGTGGTTCAACAGGAGAAACAACTACAGCAAATAACTTTTCCGGTGTACATACGGGCATGTGAGTGTTGTTTGAAGACCGAGTTAAGTTAGTATATACTTGAACTAATTTTCCTTCATTGACTTTGATGCAATTTTAGTCAGATGTGTAGTGGGCAAGAGAAAAAAAATAAAAAAAAAAATAAAAAAAGTTATATAAAGATTGGGTTGAGCAATGTAAACAAAACATTTGTCATATATATTAGGTATAAGTTGAGTTTGATTTACAGTAAGTCAGAAACAACATGTAAACAGTAAATGATCTGTTCTTCCTAGTCAGACCTGCTATATTGGATTTTTACTGATATTTTTACTGATATTGTTTCTAGTATTTAATCTAAAAACACAAGGAAAACGTTTGTAAGATTTAAATAAGCCTTTTTCACAGCAGACATTTGGACTACAGCAGACAGCTACAGATACACAAATCCTTAATAAATGCACTGCACTGCAAATTTCATGTGGTATTTTTCAAAGAAATTAAATATTTATGATAAAAACTTTATGCTCTGTCGAGTGGAAAACATGTTCAGCTACAGAAAAACCCCACAATCAGCCAGATAAAGGGAGTTAACATATTTATAAGAGATCAAATAGGAGGTAGGGCGCCGTAATGCACAGTGCAGTAGGGCTGTAACATCAGGCGTGCACTGCTCCACAAGGTGTTCATGGAAAAAAACCCTGAGTTTCCTGCACAGCTTCCTGACGCCACAAAGGCCAAAACAGTGAGAACGAAGAGGAACAGCATCAATAGTCCTGCTCTCTGGAAGGCCGTCTCCAAGTTACCTGCACACCTTAGACGATGGACGGTGACGAACAAGGACATGAAGAAATACAATTATTATGATTATTAATACACAGAATAATCTTGTTATAGCTTTCACACGTCCCTACAAAGTCTATCAAAGCTGTTTTATAAAGTGAAACTGAGATACCTTTTGGTCTGAAGGTCTACTGTGAGACTTTGATGGTCCAGCAGCTCCTCAGCCTCATTTTCCTCCTGCAGACAGTCACAGACATCACTAATCTCCTCATATCTAAATCCACTGTCAAGTAGTGACAGTTTTAATCTGTGCTTTGTAGTGGCACACTCTAGTGGTCACTTGTGGAAGCACAGGATGTATAATCGTTTTGGAAGATGTGGTTTTTGGTGCTGTTTGAACTGTACTGGATTATACAATCATTGATATAAATAGGATGGATAAAATAACAGAAAGACCTGTCAAGTTCAATAGTATAAAACACAGGAGGGAGAGGTCATACATGTCTAAGATCTTTGGAGTTTGACTTGCTGGTTTTCACTTCAGCTGAAGAGGCGAGCAGCTTAATTTCCTCTGCGAAGGACAGAAGGGGACTGAGCGATCCTTCCTTTTGTCCTATTACGTCACTCAAAACAGCACTGAAAACCAACAGCAGACACACAGCACAGTATGAATGCAAACAGATGACTCAGTGCACGTTATGATATTCATTTGAAGAATTCGGTGCGTCAGGGTTACAATGAGGCTTCATCCTTTGTGTCCTCCAACTGCTTCCTCAGCTCCTGATTTGTCAGCCTGAGATCCTGCAGCAGAGGAACATGATCTGACAACAAAACACTTCATCTGATAGTGGTTAATAACTGAGTGAGTAATATGCATGTAAACAGGGACAATGCTGGACATTTGCTCCTGTTGTCTCTTCTTTAAAATTGCAGCTTGCATTCTGCAAATGTTTTGAAATGGTCCCCTGAACATGTGCCATTAATCAACACTGTGAGAACATAGACACTCACTTTGTTCTGTCTGTTCTTTTACTGATGCAGTGAGCGAATTTACCCTTGTATCTTAGTTTAAGTAATTTATATGAAGAAGAAGAAGTTTTCTGAATAGCAGTGGATGATCTTTACCTTCATGATGTTGGAACACTCTTCTACTGTTTCCTTTGAGTGCTTTATCTGCAAGTCTTTCTATCACAAACACACACAAATGTAATTTTCGAACAATGAAAGAAAAAGAACTGTCAAGATATTCAAAAGGGAAAGATCTGTATTCATGGGAGAATCTTAGCCTTGTGGTTACTGCCTAGCGGTCTCTGTTCCTACCTGATGAATAACCTCATCCCTATGCTGCAGCCCTAACTGAGCCTCTTCAATTCCACACTAAGGAAACACACAACAGAACAAATCAGGAGCTGTCTGATGATGTAAAACTGCTAACATGAGCACTGGATGGAGAGGGAAAAATATTAAACATCTCCAAGTTGAATCCATTTCACCTCGAGGGTTTGAAGAGCCACTGTGAACTTGTTCAAGGTGGTCTTGTCCCGCTCTCTCTCTTGCCAGAGGCTCTTAAGCTGAAAGAGTCAGAAATGTGTTTTAAAATGTCTGTACCACTTTTAACTGTAGTACAGAATGACAGATTCAAGTTATATGAAAAGTAACAGTAATCAGACCTCTGCAGTTAGTTTCTTATTTTCTTCTTTTATCATGGTATATTCCTTCTCCTGCACAAAAACACAACAGCATGAAGGGTCACCTGGAGACATTTAAAATGACAGCCGTCAGCCTATTCAACAACTACGAGCAATTTGTCAACCATATATCAAAAACTAATGTGTCATCTGATTTACATTGTGGTAGCAGTCATTGTGGTAGCAGTGAAGTGAATGCAGGTTCAATAACTGTGAATGTACTGCCACATATCCACATGGCTAATGTTCTATTAAGTCTATATCTAAAACCCCAGTGATGCACTGTAATACAATAACACCTCTGGCTACACACCAATTTCTGAATCCTTTTTTCACTGCACGTCTTTACATCGAGCTCATCAGCCAGGAGGGATCTGCAAGGCTCTGCTTCAACCTGCTGGGCTTCACTGATGATCTTCTCCTGGCTGCGGACACACAAACACATCTACAAGCTCAACAAAAACACTGAATAATAAAGACAAACAACAGAACAATTATGTAGTTACAATTAGTGAAAAGGTAACGATATGTAAAGCTAATGAAATACTGGATATCAAATTCTGCACCTGAACCAGTGGAGAGCATTTAGCCCTCCAGAATTTAACTTTCCCAAGGCATAAACTTGAACTAGCAGAGATCACCAGGTTTCACTGGAAGGTTTAGCTAGGTATATATGTAATATATGTTATTTTATTTACTAAAAACAGAGCCCAGATGAAGCATATACAAAGAGAATAAATTATGGACGCTGTGTGGTTCTGCACAGAGGATGAGTGTAGAGAAAAGTTTAGAAATTGGGGACTGATCATACTGTCAAAGGCAGCAAGAAGATACAAAATATATCTATAGATGATTGATATGATATGAGTAGAAATAATAATGTGTGACTAGTTACGCTTTGACTTGTTTTTTGAAAGCAGCATTCTCCGAGCGCAGCGTTGCTATTTCATCATCTGCAACATCCAGCCAGTGCCTCATCTCAGCATTCAGGTCCCTCAGCTGGCTTTGACCGTAATCCAGCTCAGCTATTTTCTCAAGCATCTCCTTCAGTGTCCTACACACACACACACACACACCAGAGAAAAACATTCATATATTGCTGCTCTGTAACATTAACTCACCAAACAGTATGTGTGTGTGTGTGTGTGTGTGTTTGTGTGTTTGTTTGTTCAGGGACCATCACTCACATATTTTCCTCTGTGATGTCCATCCTGCTGGTTTACTCCTCCCTGATGCTTCTGATCGATAAACAGTCCACCAAAATGACCATGAGGAACAACACAGCTTTTTATGTATATTTTAGACTAGATTTACTGATACAGTTCACTTATCTAACTGGTTCTTTAAAAACTCCTAAAAAGCACATGGCGTTAACTATACAAGCATAATGAGATGTGCAACAATATTTTTTGCCATTTTCGCCAAGTAAAAGTCAACGTTAACCGCCCTTTTCTGCAATATCTGCATCTTTGAAAGCCAATCAATGTGGCATGGTTAATGGAAATATTACACTAGCTGATAAACACAATTTCATTCAATTTTAAGAGGCTATTTTAAAAGTAAAGTTAATTTATATGCTGCGTACTATTACCAAGATGATCTAATTTAGCTAAAGCTAGATTTATTATCGCTCTAACCTCAACAGTAGCTGGTTAGAGAGCTACAATATAAAGTGTGAGACACATTTACAGGGAGACTTGTTGACGCTCTTCCTTCGCGTTACGCCACCATTCGTTAACGTCTCACACTTAGCTACCAGCTAACGTTAGCTTAGGCTAGCCAAACCTTCAATGACGACCCAGTCGACCAAAAATGTAACGTCATGTTGTTATGATGTTTTACATCGATATCCGCTTTAAAAATGGACCACAAAAATGCCTTACCAGCGAGTAAACCCACACTAATGAGGTTATGGTAGTTAAATTGAAGCTCTGGGCGCCATAGCAACACCAGGAACCGTCACCTAGCAGCAACAGTGACGGTTTGTAAATGAACCGCTGAACACAAACCGGCGGTTACTAGTTTCTTCACTCACTGTATGTTTGAATTGATTATCTGAACTTCAAAAACAAGCCACATTATACTATTAAAACAACGATTTGAACTTCAAAAGTATAAATAATGATAATAAAAATGAAACTGTTTCAATGGTTCCCTTGACACAGTTTATTGAAGCACAAATCAAATGGCAAAAACCAAACCTCAAATGGTGTGACCCGTGTGAAATAGCACAAAAATAAAATAATCAAGCATACATGTGTTTATAACAATTAACAATATTTAGTTACACACAATATTTTTGGCTGTGGGACAAGGAGCCAAAAGAGCACCTGTCAGAGCAGAGGCTTGTAATTTTTCACTACATTTTAAGGCCGGGAGAATAAAAATGACACAAGCAAAAGTGCACAAGAGAGGGTGAAAGGGATTGTAATGAGTAAACAAGTGCTGTAAGACATGTGTCCCAAAACCCATACTACACACTAAATCAAAGCAACAAATAATCAATCATAAGTTTTTTGGAAAATGATTTGGTTTTCTCTTTGTTCATTTTAATTGACAGTAACATTGCAAAGTCACAGTTTGATTGACGTCTCTGACAGTGTAAATATCGTATCAAAAGTATTGTAAAAAAAACAGTCATGTTTGTCAATATTCTGTATACTAACCAAAACAGGATGCTATTAACACTAGAATTCAATAATGTGTGCAATTAGTATGTAGTAGGGAATTAGGACACTGTAGTTGCTTGAGTCAGTACACATCATGTTACACTGTACGTTTGGTTTGAAGTCCCTTAGTAGCTGAAATGTGGACAATGTAGTGTGAAACACGAGGAACGTTCACACATGCTCTCCACAGGTAGACCTTACATTACTTCGTAAACAACTGCAACACTATATATTTCACACCATGTACAATTTCTGTTTTTTCTTACACGTATGTTGTCCTGGAGATGTTAAGACATCATTGTGAACCCCCTCTTGATGCTCTAAATGCCCCACGACAATAATCAGTACACAGCTCAGTGTAAAATCAGCTGGAGCTGAGTAGTGGACGTAGACAAAGGGAAAGCACAAGCATATAATGATCCTAGCAGCTAATGCACAACAGCAGATAGGAGGCTAATGATTGTGTATTTTATAATCCTTGTATGACCTTCAGATTTGGGCAAATTAAACAGTATAACAAAGGCTAATTTAAGTAGTTACGACTCCCAGAAGGGTGACTACCCAGGAATCAATGTCAGTAATGGCGAGTGCTTGTTAAAAAGCATTTCAAATGATAGATTGTTCAAGATCAATAAGATACATTCTTATTTAAGTGTTGTTTACATACATTTTCAGTGCTCAGTGTTCCCAAGGAACGCTGCAAATTTCTGTGTTAATATTCTGAGGCCAGCCTCAATGAGTGTACAGATTACCTTTAGGTTGATGTACCTTCCAAAGAAGATATATCGTTTCTTAGTCTCAGCACAGGTTTACTGGAGAATATACTGGTACACAGTTATCCCCAGTAACATCTTTAACAACCACACACTATTCTTGCTTCTTCCCATCCCAATCTACCTCTTCAAAACTGAGGTGATCTTCCCAGTTGCTGCTCCCGAGGACATTAACCATCACCACGAAAGTAAAGACACACAGCCTGTTAATATTCAGACTCTCAGCTGTTACCGGGTGGGTTCCAGTGACCCTGTGACCTGGAAGTTTATCCCATCTCCAGGTAGAGGTGATGGGATGAGTGGGCAGAGCCAGCAGAGGTACCAGCGAATGCCTAGAGTGTGACGCAGGTTGCCCAGGAGCCCAAGGTTGTAGGGTCGGCGGGTCGAGTACCACTCCCTGGTCGTCTGTCCCCTAATCATCAGGAAGACATGGAAGAAGAAGAAAGCGGACACCAGCAGGAAACCCACCACACATGTGTCGGCGATGAAGGCAAAGGCAAAGGCACGTGCTGAGACCTGGCCTGGGGAGAGAAGGAACAGAAGCACTGAATAAATCCCAGCCAGCAGTTTTTTTTTTCTGTGAAATAGATCTTTACATAGAAAAGAAAGTACCACAGCTACACGAAGAGGGACAATCCAACATGGGACAAATCTTACAGATCGTACCTGAAACTAGCATGATCCAGGGTATGAGCAGCAGCAGGATGCTGTGCATAGTCAACCCCTCCTTCAGTATGACAATAAAGACCTCTGCATTCATCAGAGTGGCGTACAGGAGCCCAGACCACATGAACAACAGGCAGCTCAGGAAGAAGCGGTAGTTACGGAAGCCCACACACTGGCCAAAAAAGACGCAGTGGTGATCTCGCCGCAGCACACACACTTTGCAGTCATAGCAGTGGGAGCAGCGGGGAGGAGTGTGTGTCTCGCATGTATAACAGTACCTGTGTGGGGAGAAAAAGGGAGAAAATACTATTATTTATGGTCATGTGCTAGTAAATAACATTTCAAGTGAAAAAGTGAAAGGCTATTAATGAGTTGTGAATTAATTTAATGTAACTGAAACAAGTTTGGGTCCATTCTTATAACCAGTGTTAAATCTATCTTTAAATCTGCGATGATAATTAGGTTCCTTTACTGAGTAAGTTGTATTTCCTTCCAACATATATGTAACATAATGTTTTTCATTTCCTGCTTTTTCCCCCTAACATTTGCATATTCTCTGTATGGACATTTCAGTAGTATGCTCAGGTTTATGATGAGTTAATCCCAATACTGGCTCATTGAGAGAGTCCAAAACCACTTTACTAAAGAGATTCATACATTTCTTCCAGCACAGAGCCAATGTTATACTGAAACAGGAAACAGCCATGGTTGCCACAAAGATGGAAGATCATATCAACATCAGTATCAATATTGATATCATTGTACAGTGAAAAGTTATATTAACTAGAACTAACCTCCATGAAAAACAGACTCCGACCAGAAGTACTCATAAGCATCTGGACGGGAGTGTCCCCATACTTTAGTCCATACAGTGTAACTTACTGTACTAACTGTAGAAGTCTAAATCAACTCATTTCCGTATCTGTAATAACAGAGCTGCCACTTCCATACCTCCACCCCTGGCCCATGCCCTCTCCTCCCAGGAACACCCCCTTGATGCTGGGGCTGGTTCTGAGGAAGAGCAGGGCGTTCCAGCAGATGTTTCCCAGCATGAAGTACTGCACCAGCAGGTGGACGGCTTTCCACCAGGCGGACCACACCGTTTTCTTCTGGTCCGCCTCCAGAGGAGCCTCGACCAGCACCAGGTAGCTCACCTCCCCGGTGATGGAGAAGACCAGGAAGGTGTTGAGGACCACGGGGAGGTGGTGGCACAGCTTCTCCACCCTGCAGAACACTTTACTGGCAAAGCTCGTCATGTTTCCTGCCCGTCTCTGTGATGTTTGAGTCACTGGGCTCACTGGAAGGACTGGTTTGAGGTTGGTTAGCTTTCTGTCCGCGGGGTCAAATCAACCGCATTATATCAGTAACACCTGCTTTATCCTCGGGACAAAGTCATGTAATGTTAAAAGTTTAAACGCGACTCTGTTGATCTCTCTTGCCCCCTCTCTCTCTACCTCGGTCTGTGCTACCACTGGACGGAATCTCTGCTAACAGATGTTACATGAAAATACATCCGTAGTGCAACAACATACTGTGGTTCCGCCTGTGACATTAACTACCGTGTGCCCCTGTCACAATACAGCTTCATAAAGTTATTGTAGTTTTGTGTTAGATTGGTGGATTATTAGTTAGATATAAGATGTTGTCTTTTTATTTGTACATGTTTATGCTAATGTCTTCTTCTCCACTCTAAAATAAGTTGGTGGAAACATCTCATTTCTTAATTGATACCACATTTCTGTTAAGCCCCCACACCCACCCTTTCCTTGATGCAATAAATAAATAGCATTTATCCATATTAAAATAACCTCTCTGGTAACCTTGTGAGTTGTCTGTCTTTATTGTTTCTCAAGTGTAGGTGAACACAATCTTCTAAAGGCAAGAGGTCCCACATGTGGTTCTTAATAGTCCCTGAAATTTCCAACACTGCCCACACCTGAGTAGCTCCATATTATCTGAACACACTTGATCTAGGTATCAGATAGCCTATAGGTAGAGCTGTGAAAGATGAAATAAATATAAAATATAATAATAATAACTTCCAATATATGATTCAACAATATGTTGTTGAGAATAGTAGCCTGGTAAAATAAATACATTATTAAACGTTGCATATTACCTTTTATTTCATTACATAAAGTTAATATCCTCGGATGGCAGGACAGTAGGTAGACATTAGTTTTAGTGGTTTTCAGACCTATATGTACGTGTAACCTTGGTTACCTATGTGGCATTAAAAAAGCTCTTACTATTGTTAAACCCCAGTAACATCCCATGTGTGGATTGGCAGCATGTCTCTGATCCCTCCTCCTCCCAAAGCACAGACCTTAATCCCTGATAATCTCTGCATCCACTGATCGCCTGCAGTCATGGCTGCACCGAAGGAGAATTTACTGTCTCTTGGGCATCTGACCGGCATGGAAAGAAACACTTTTACAAAACAAAGAGAGCACGGTCTAAAGAAGAGGTGAGATCCTTGAATTCTGCCATGTTAGAGTCTTTCATTTCTTCAAAATGTATTCGGTAAATACAATAATGATCATTCCAAAACAAAAAATATCATAATACAACTTAAATTATACAGTCCAGTTACAGAATGTACTCATAGCAAAGGTTATAGATAGATAGATAGATAGATACATGGGATTGTGTATGAGTGTGTGTGTGTGTGTGTGTGTGTGTGTGTGTGTGTGTGTGTGTGTGTGTGTGTGTGTGTGTGTCATGGGTTACTATGATGCTGTATTATGATGCACTCTTTCTTTTCTCTTACAGTGTCAACAGGCCAGTGCTGTTACAAGCTGACTCATCTCGTCAGAGTCATCAACATCTGTAAGTACATAGACTAGATGCTTGCACTGTGTGTCATTGTGTATGTTTGTGTAAATGTTTCTTTGACTCTGTGTATGGTGTGTGTGTGTGTGTGTGTGTGTGTGTGTGTTTCCTGCAGCAGGGCAATGCATCTGCAGCAGCGCTGGCAGGAGCTGAAGGAGAGAGAGTTTGCAGCCCAACAACACAACAGGCAGCTGCTGCATCAGTTTGAGGAGGCCCAGGACACACTGAGAGAGATGTTAACCCTCAATGCTGCCATGAAAACTATCAGGGTGCAAAGAAAACGCACACACACACACACACACACACACACACACACACACACAAGAGAGAGAGAGAGAGAGAGAGAGAGAGACAGACAGAGGGAAATGGAGTGAAATAATTGAGGAATAAGCTCAGATAAGAAAGTCTGGCTACTAAACTCTACTAAATTCTTGATCTTACCTGTGCTTTACTCCTGCCTCCTTGGAGCTCTAATGCTGAACCTTCCTCTTAACCTTTGACCCCCTCCAGAGGGAATATGAACGGTACCTGGAGGAGAGCACCCCCCGCTGGCAGCAGCAACTCAAAGAGAAAACACAGGCTGCTCAGAGCAAGGTACAAGCAATTTGTAGTATGCATTAATAATTTTACATGTGACATCAATCTATCAGTCACAGTGTAATAATACTGCGTTCCTTCAACAGAGGATGGAGGAGTATTTGAACTCATGTCTGAAGAACACAGAAGAACGTGTGACAAAGTCCTCGGCAGATCAGCCTTTACTTTCACAAGGTTTGTCCTCCTCCTCACTGACTTTAAGAAATGACTTTGTCACATTTGTTCCAGTGTATTCCTATCTAATATGTATCTTTGTTCCTAGGCCCTACCACAAAGCCACAAAAAATGGATGCACCTCAAAAGCACCACAGCCAAATCAGCCACTTAGACTACAACCAAGATGGCTCCCCTCATCTCCCTTACACGCAGCCCTCCTGGCAGACCCAGCCTCAATCTCAGACAGCTAGGTTTCCCATCAGAGCTCCCAATCAACCGCAGGGATCCTCTCATGTTCCTCCATCTCTCCTTCCACCACCCATCTTCCCACACCCATTCCAGCTGCACCACCTCGCCTACATGCCCGGCCATCATCACCCCAGGCAGAATCCACCAGGCTGGGCCTCCCAGCAGCCCAACTACCCCTGGTCCTGGACTGCTGGTGCTGCTGGAATCCCTTCAGGCTCTGAGGCTCTGTGGGATCGGCTCTTCACAGAGGAGCCTCCTCCTGAACGGAGGTTTGCGCATGTTGTAGGGGAGGAGGCTGAGATGAGCAAAGCATCAACCTCAAAGAGAGAGAGAGGTGGTGGGAGCAGGAGCAGTCATTTATCCCAGGAGCTGGACGTCAAACCAGGTGAGACGTGTTTAAATTCAGAATTCTTTTTCTTTCTTCATTTATTTTTCTGAGTGGATATTTTCCTTCACCTCAGATATGGGTTGTAATTTTTATGTACTGTGCCTAGTTCGTCTGTCCAGCGGCCCTGCAGAGAGCAGCGAAAGCAGCAGGGAGTCCAGTCAGGCAAGCAGAGAGAGGAGGAAGAAGAGGGAGAAGAGAGGAAGATCACAGCGTACCTCCTCAGAGAAAGAAACATGCAGCTCTCAGGAGTAATATTCTCCATGGATTACAACCCATTTACCTACCCATTGTTCCCTCTTCCCTACATACTGCACCAACCTTTCAAACTTTTTACCTGCTCTTCTACTTCATTACATATTCTACCCACCAGAAAATTACCAATGTTGCACCCAATTTAATTACCTAATACCTTCTTTCTTAGATGTTGATCTGTCAGTGGTTTCCACCTTTAAAGCAAAACATCCTCTATTTGCAATCAGTTATCACAGGTTAAAGTTGTGAGCAGTTTCATTGTATTTAATTTATCAAGGTCCCCATTGTGTGTTGCTGGATCTCTGCGTCAAAGAAAACTGTACACAAAATCAGACAATGCTACACAACAATGAACTCCAAACACAAAGTAACTTAAAGTTTTTGAAGTATGTAATGCAAGGGTTATAATTACAACAGGGGACTTTAAGTAGTCATCCAAAGCAATTACTTGCCTGCACATGTTTTAGTTTTGAATTGTGAACAGAAGAGAAAGAGAATAGGATGACAGTGTAACTGAACCCAACAGTAACAACTTTCATTTGTTTATACAGGCCTGAAAAGAAAAATATGCATCATTTCACAATAAAAAAAGCAAAAATTAGAAGAAATGTATGTATTGCATGTGTAGCAGATTTCTTAATCTTGCTGACAATCTTGCAACTCTACCTCCTTTGACAACCAGGTTAGAAACCACTGGTTTATGTACTGCCGACCACACAAGGCACACAATTAGCACCAGCCACCTGCCAAATGATGGTAAAACATGCAAGTGGAAGATTTCCTTCACTCACCATCCAAAACAACATCGGCATTCTATTGAGTGGCTGGTGACATTTGAATATTCACTAGCAATTTGGTCTGGTGGACAAAAAAAAAGATAATTAATCACCAAATCCATGAATACTACAACCCTGTGCATTTATCTTTTTCATCCCTCTTTTAGATCATCTAGGACTTCCAGTGCCATCATCACTGCTGCAGTCACAGCGGCCCACAGCTCAGAAAGTGACGCCTCATCAGAGAAAGGCAGAACCAGCACCAGGAGGAGGAGGAGAAGTGAGGGACTTTCTGTTGGATCACCAAGGGCTGAGAAGGTGACGAAGGAAAGGATCAGGAGCAAGGCAGATGACTCAGGGAGCCACAAAGACGAGAGTCAGCCTACTTCTGAGGAGTTAGTGAGTCCAATTGATGAATCCAGGAGTGAAAAGGTGGGAGATCGAAGTCCTGAAGACAAAAGTGAGAGCTGTACAGAGTCAGGATCGCAGCGGGAGGAGGAATCAGGAAGTTTTAGTACAAAGATTGAAAATGGAGATGAAAAGCAGGAGAGCGGCAGCTCTGAAGAAAGCAGCGTAGAAGAAAAGGGCGAGGAAGAGGAGCATGAAGATCTGGGAGATGGAGAAGAGGATGACGGTGAAGAAAAAGAGGACAGTCAGATAGATGAAGGGGAGGATGATGAGGCTTCTGAAAGAAAGAATATGGCCGAGGAAGAAGAGGCGACGGGAGCAGAGGAGGAGATGGAGGAGCAGGAGTCGGAGGAGAAGAGTGATCAGGAAGAACATTCAGACAGGATGAAGAATGAAGACGGTGTGAACGGAAAACAGGATTCTTCTCAGGATGAGGAGAGCGAAGGAGGTGAGGACAAATTGGAGGAGGATGGGGAGTCAGATGAAGAGGAGGAAGAGGAACAGAGAGGAGACGAAGTAGAAGAAGAGGAGGAAAGAGATTCAGAGGACAGTATCATCTCACCACAGAACAAGTAAGATAATTAAGAAACGCAGTGATTGTGCTGTCAAACGACAGCTTGTTAACTATTTTCAATGTTTCCAGGTCTAAAACAATGCACATTATTCCTGAGGAGGCAAGTGAAGAGGAAGAGGAAGAGGAAGAGGAGGTGGAGGGGAGTAAAACAGGATCCTCTGACTCAAATGAGTTCAGTGATGAGGATATTGAGCATCAACTTGCACCTCAAGAACAATCACAGCAAAAAGAGTGAGTACTGTTCGTACGTCTCTGACTGTGAAGACTGCAGCATGTGCCTCACATTTTTCTTTCTTTTACATATTTTCAGAGAAAAAGACTTGAAAGCTGATAAGAAACCCAAAGGTATCATTAGTCATTATGATCACAAGATGGACTGAATATTCAGTATAAACCTTATTTAAAGGTGTTTATTCTGATGATGTTCAATTTCTCTTCCAGCGGTTTGTGACATGGTGGAGATTTTTCAAGTGGAGATGGACAGACCGACAAAGACAAATAACCCAAGTGACTCTGAGGAGTTTGACCACTTTTATGACTAAATGTGTTGTTTCAACTGCCTAAACCTGAGAATAAAGGACAAAACCCTCCCTCAGTTACATGGAATTCAGTTTATTTAAAACAACTTATGGTAAAGGAGCTGAAACAAAAGTCTTTTCCCCCCTGCTGTTTGATTTGATCTAAACGCTGCATGATTTCCATTGAAAAATAAAGAAATATCACCTGGAATAACTCCACTACATTAAACTGCATTACATACATATTAAGCAATTATTTTATTTTTAGGTGACAGTTTTGAGATACAAAAGAAATCCTCCAATCAGAACCGCAGACACAGATATAATGCTCTGGCTAACAGAGAGAGGAGATTGTACAAAGTCTGAGAATAATTTATTGAAAAGATTATTGCTGTTCTGAGTGACTGATTCCACCACAATACGCTTGTCATATAAAAATAAACCAACAGGTTTTTCAACAGTACAGTGAATTGTTTTAACATATTTTACATCAGCGTTGCTGCTGAGTGCAGTGTTCAAAGCTGCTTGCGAACTGGTCCCAGTCAAGTCGGCTTATGTCTGTGGACAACGAGCATCCAGTTACTGAATGTCCTTTTAGATTTTAGATTTTCACCACCTGAGCAGCCAGACAGGGGCTCACTCTCTTCTCGTCTTCTGATGTAGCGCTGCGCTGAATGAGCAGCCTGCTGTAGGTGCCGCCCACCTGGCCTTTAGTCAGACGTCCAGGATTGACACAAACGCAGCCGACCACATTCTGACGACAGAGAGAGAGATGAGGTTTTAGTGCTTTGTCTTCAGTGGAGGTTCAAATCAAACGTATTGTGGGCTGATCACCAAATACACTTCTTAAAGTCCCCCTCCTCTCAAATCAGTTTCTCTTCTTGATCCCACAGTTGGATGTTTGATCTTCACTGTGCAGAATGATGTATGTGTAGGGTTTGACACTAGACGCCAAAGGACGCCAACAGAAACTGGGGTGCTGTACCTTTACAAAGTAGCGCAGCTCAGAGGGAATGATGAGAACGTCGGGGGTGAGCGGCAGCTGACCGAAGCTCTGGAACTTCTCATAATCCATGTTCACCTCCTCCACGGGCGGATACAGCGGGTAGTAACTAAAGTGAAAACACAAATTATGGCAGTCAATAATGTTGGGAAATCTTCTAAACAGAAAGAACAAGTGAACTCTTTTAGGACTCCTACCTCCTCTGGGTCAGCATGTGCTTCAGTATGCGTGAAAATCTGTCCGATCCACTTCCACTACAACACAATACATTTTCAAGTTACATGACAGCGATGGCAAAATATAAGCAATAATATGCTAAATTTCTTTGGGAATGAACTCAAAGACAGAAGGGAGGCTGAGAGGAGGTTTGTTTATAATGCAATAAAACAGGTTTGTGCTTCAGAATCACACTAAACAAACATATATAAACATAATTGAATATAGTTCATTGATTCATTTCCCTCTTGAAACGGCACCCTGTCTTCCTCACCAGCTGATCTCCTCTGCACCCATGTGGAACAGGATGTCAGTGGACGTTAAGCCAAAGGTCACACCGTCGATCAGCAGGGTGCAGGGGTCAGGGACCAGGGTGACACGCTGCAGAGAGTGAAGAGAAACACTATATAAGACTAATACCTAAAAACAAACAAGTTCCTCTGTTGGAATCCTTTAAACCTGTCTGAATTAAGTTTTGACTTGAGTCAGACTTGAGACTGTAATCTTAAGAAAACATCTTTATTTAGGAAAAAATAAAGACTTGCTACTTTATTTTGAGAAGTTTAAAACTAAACTATTACAATGAGGCTTGCCAAGATTGCTCCTGAGCAGCTTATGTAGCTTACATATACAATGCTACAGTCGGGTCTTTGTGTCTGACCTGGGCCTGGTCCTTGTTGAGGTTTGGCAAGGTGAAGGGAGGCTGTGGGTAGATGAAATGATGGTGGATGTCTCTCTGGGAGGGCACAAACACCAGGCGACAGCCAACACTGGATAGAAGAAAACAAAAGGCTTCATTATCATCAAGGGTTTCTGATTAGGGCACATTACAAGGCACCATGCTGCTCTTTAAAAACACTTTTCCACCGCATGGTACTGCTCAACTTGACTCACTCTTTATTGGTTATTCCATCATTCCATTATGGATAGTACCTGGTACCTTTTTTTGGTACCATCTCAGTCCAGGTTCCAAGCGAGTTAAGCTGAAGCTAAAACTTGATGTGAAACACTGCGGACCAAGATGATGAGCAATATACTGAACCCAAATAGCTCCTGAGGTGCATCGGTGTGTAAATTTCAATGGTTTCTGTTTGTGATGAGCCTTTGCCCTCACTGTATGAATGTGTGTGAATGGGTGAATGTGGCATGTTAAAGCACTTTGAGTGGTCTGAAGACTAAAAAAGGTGCAATACGAGTACAGTCCATTTACCATATCCTCTGTTATAAGAGCTCCTTTTTGTGTGTGTGTAGTTAGTGTGTAGACAAACAAGAGAGACCACTGAATGTAAGCGATGCGGAGGAAATAGAGAGCAGTGAATGTGTCAATCTGGCAGGTTGTTAGTGACTAAAGACTGCAGCTTCTCAAGACCCAAGTAAATCTCCTGTATGTTGTTTCCTGGTTGTTTTCCAACTGCTGGAATACCGTCGCTCTGACCCTCAGCTCCGCCTACACTGAGAGGGTACTATTCACAGTACTATCTACAGTGGAGTTGAGCCATACCATGTAGTGGCGATAAGGCTTAAAAAGGTCCTCAGGAGCTTAAATAGTGGAATCATAGGCAGGGATGATATGAGACTCACCTTTTTGTTCCATCCACAATACTGTCGATACATCTTGTGAAAATGGCCTCAAACGTCTCGGTCACCTGGGCTTTCTATTTAAGAAACAGGTGGAAATAAAGATGGTCAAACATTTATGATCAAACAGCTTGACTTGAAGAGCTGAACAATTACTTTAGTGCAGTGGGTCACTGTCCACTGGTAAACCCACCTCAATTTGTTCATGTTTGGAATCCACAAACGGGCCCAGCTGGAGACGAGAAGGGAAAATCAGAAAACCTCAAACCTAACACGCAGTCATGTGACAACTGGGAGAACTACCGACTGTGATACAGCAAAGAAATAAAGTAACTATACCAGCAGGCAGACATCAGGGCGATCCCTGACAATGACATTGATTAGGTCCAGCAGAGGGTCAAAGGTCAGGCTGTCAGAGGGAGTGTACGGTCCGCATGCCACCAGTACATTCATTGGCTCTGCAATCACATGAGAGAATGTATGCCAAATGACAGAACTACAGACACAGACTGCACAGTCGCTCCTGCTACTGTAGCTGAAAGCTTCAAGGGTGTATATTTATTCATTTCATCACTAGAGTTACAGAAGATGTTACAGACACATACAGAAAGCTGTGAGCCAGTGAGTCACTAACAGGACGCACTGAAACAAATCAACATCATCATTCCTTACCTTCATCCATCTCCATTTTCACCTCAGAAGTGTAGAAAGGAAGAGGGACTCCCTAAAGAAGACCAGACCATTAACAGATAAACAAACAGGCCCCAGACATAATCTAAAACAAAAACCTGTTAACTTGTAGCTGACCTCATGAAGTTTGGAAGCCATCAGTTTTCTCCCTGTTGTGTTCATCCCCTCCATCACTACCACCTGAGGACAGAGAACAGACGGGGAGATGAATCTGTACTCTAAGATATAACAAATGCTTCTTGTAATCTAGCTCCATGTGCCACAGGCCGGTGGTTATTTATCCCTATATGAGAATTGTTGATGGCTGTCAGAGTTCTCGGTCAGACGCTGGGCGAGTCTCCTGCCCAGGTCCTTGGCATGCTCTGTTACTCTTGGTGGTCATGTAACCTGCTACACACACTTCAGTGCACAGGAAAAGGAGAGACCACCGGTTATTAATACTACTGTAGTGACTGACAATTACAGAATATAAAGCTGCACAGTTGGATGTCATTCTTAGAGGCATATTAGAGACATTTTATGTAACAAATACAGGTAAAAAGCAAAGCAGACACATTTGCAGCTAGATTTTTTTCTGCTCACCTGACCCGGAAACAAGGAGTACTCTTTAAGCTCTGATAGGTCAACAGGTACTTGCTGACCACCTTGCTCTGGTCCCGCCTCCAACAGAACCGACTGTGCGTTCAGTTTGCCATTACTGTCGCAGCAAACCTGACCCAACACTGTTATACCGTCCTACAGGTGAAATGACATGAACACACCAAACTCAGCAGGCAGGCAATACTTAATAATACAATACAAATACATTTATTATATTGTATCTAGTTTATTTAATAATTTCCTAGAAATAAATAGTTAAGATATGCATGTTTAATCTGCAGAGATCCACATACATAACTATTATACAACTATTCTATAATACATTCACTCATTATTAACATTTCCCTGAATTTGAGTTCAATTATATGATTTGTTGGTTTAGTTTCCTAGTTAGGAATAAACCTTTCCCTGAATAAAATATAAAATAAGATATCCATGATGTCTCCAGGACGTCTGGAATCCCTTCTGTACCTGGGCGGGCAGAGAGACAGGGGAGAACTCTTCGATGTTGAAGTGAGACTTGAGGCCCTCGCCAAGCTCCTCTATCTTCTCTGTCAACACTGGGGACACAAAGATCATCAACTATAAATAATGTGTAAGCATTTATCTGAGCAGGGTGTACAATTACTTCTGTTTTTGGATCAATGCATTTAAGGGAACCTGTTTGTTTTCTAATTGAGTAGAAGTGTACACTGCAGGCTCTTTTACCATTTCGGACGTCGCGCAGCCTCTGGAACATGTACTTGTAGCTGCAGCGGAGGGAGTCTTCAGGCCCTTCCAGCAGTTCCAGCTCGACGCCTGCGCCCGGAGCCTTCCTGCCTGCCCAGCGGGTTCCCTGCACGGCCCCGAATGTGACCACCACCTCCCCTTTTCCTCCTCGCTGGCTGTACTTCTGTGATGGGGTCGAACTTCCAAAGAGAGACGCAAAGAAGGGCAGAGTCGGGTCACAGTGCAACAAATGATTCAGTCTAGTGTTTGAAAATGTTCAGTGTCTTCACTTGTTCATTCAGCTACAGAACTGCATAAGAAAATCCATTAAACAAATAGGTCAGGTCAAATTTCAAAACGTAATCTTGCATTTTTGGGATTCTTACTATTACAATATTATCATACAACTTATGCCTGCTTCATTTTTCCAGCAGCTCACTGACTGTCGGTCTGTCTATCTGTCTGTCTGTCTGTCTTGTTGTTGAGTACCTGGGAGAAAAGCTAGCAGGAGACAGCAGGAGGCCCGGGCTGGCAAGCAGAGCTGCACTTCTTTTTGAATGCGGGTGTTCAGGAGTGGTCAATGCTCGCTTCTGAGAGCCCTACACACACACACACACACACACACACACACACACACACACACACACACACACACACACAGAGTCAGGTTAGAGCCCACAAGTGAACATGCACTATAGGGCCAGAAAGTGAGTCATACCTAGTTCATTTAACTTTAAAAGTGTAAATCACAACAGAAACGCAGTCTGAACTCAAACGTGACAGTTTACCTTAGCAGGAGTAGAGTAGGAGTCCAGTAGATTCTCCTCCTCTTCCTCGGCTTTGATTCTGAACAAATAACGTCAAGGACTGTAACACAGCGGCATCAGTGGACACTCATGATAGACGACACATACATTCAGAAATAAAAGCTGCTGGACAGTCGAGTGTGAAGAGTTCACTGTGAAGGATACAAGTCCTGTAGTGAGTGGATGTCTCTGGTTCTATTAAGAGCTTCTTCCTTTCTGAAGCTTTGTTTGTGTTTATTCTTCTTATTTAACACCTGCAAAGAAAATGAACACAGTGGTGAGGACAGACTGACAAAGGGGCCAAGTTCATAATCAATATCAGTAACACGTATCACTTGCTTCTAATCAATCATTTGGAAATTATGAACTGTCAATATGTTGATCTGTTACCTCGTGTTCGAATTGCTCCAGAGTGTCCACGGTGAGTTTTAGTCCATTTTTTGTGGTGCTGTAGGCCACCCACTCCAGCACCATCTCATCTGCCTGTATCCTGTTACAGATACACTGCTCCACCACTGAGAGGAGGAGGAGGAGGAGGAGGAGGTATGAGGGAGAGGAAGGGGAGCAGGTTACAAAAAGGGAGAACAACAATAAGCTGAGTGCAAATACAGCACAGCGACACCATAAATGTGACTGAAAATAATACTGTAGATCAGCAGTGGAGGTAAATTACAGCAGAAATAAATACTTTCACTCAGAATTGAGAAGATATTTGAATGATTATTATTTTTGTACAGTTTACATGCACTTTCTTTTCCTTAATGTTTGAATTTATCATAGACAACACACACTAATTAGCATCAATACGTGTGGATTTGGTCACTGTGAAGGTTTATGAGGCATTCACAAGATAAAAACAACATAAAAGGGACATGTAATAGGACAATTGACAAGAAAGCTCGTTTGGTAACATAATAAAGTGTTAGTTACTTACTCTTATCGAGGGCGTAGTCATCTTGGCAGGCTATGTCGAACATTTCCAGCTCTGATTTTAGGCTCTCCCCGGTAACAAGTGCCATTGTTTTAAGCTGTATAGTTACCACTTTATTGATCTACGATGATATTGATTTGATGATGGTTTGAAAGCTAACGTTAGCTTTGCTCTCACTTCATAGCAACGCCGACGAGCTAATTCTCCAAACAACGGGATTTTAAATGCCAGCTACAGCTATTAGCTACACGCTAGCTAAATATGAGAACTCAGAATTAATCTGATCAACATTACAAACACATTTTCATTTTACCGCGAAAATCCGCTGTGCGTGTTGGCGGCCGGAATTACGTCATATCCATAAACAGTCATAGCCGGAAGTTAGCAGCGCTACAAAAATAAAAGCATCTACCGCCATCTAGTGGCTGCCGGGAGAGGGATTTTATTTGAATGTTTAACTGGTCTGGTTTTCCAGCTTGTCTCGTTTCACAATCACTAAAAATAGTTCCTACATAACTATATATTGCAGAATTATTGCGTCAATCACAACTTACACCTTATATTGTACACATGTTCATGTTTTGTACTATATTGTTTATTTAGGGGTACAGAAAAAACAAACAAAAACGATCAGTTGAATGTAGATTTATTTTGGAACATTTTCTATCTGAGAACTGTGTTAAAAAAACAATCCCATCCAACAAACCATAATAAAACGATGCCTTTTTAAAATTATAAGTTAAATGTGTATTTCTATCTCCGCCACACTACTATAAAATATTGTTGTACTATGTACTCATTCCAGTGTTAACGGCTTCCACAGCCCTCAACCTTTCAAGACAAACTCAGACATTCTCAGATTTCTGTTCTGGTGGGTTCGTCACTCTCAGGATGTTCTTCCATCTGTGAAAGTAATGACGTGTTGTTAGATTATGGCTTGAAATCACATGTCTAAAAGCAATGAAGTGCTTCTATAGTAACTGGCTGGTATCGGTGAACAACAAACATCTCGCTCACCTGAGCAGAGTAGCACCTGCTCCTGGGAACGAATTTCCATGATGTCACCCTCCTCAGTGATTCCCGGAGGGAGGCTGAGAGGTCATGAGTGTCACGCACCTGACAAACACATACATTATGGATGCACATCTGGCTTTTGTCACACTCCTGACACATATATATATATATATATATATATATATATATACACACATGTATATATATATATATATATATATAGGTGTGTGTGTAACAGGTGTATTTACAGTGTAGCACATAACCTGACGACATGTTTGCCAGTGGTGTTTTTTTGTATTTTAAAATGAACTATTAATATCAGCATTCAAAAAAAGTTAAATTCACTTTTTTCATACCTTCATGCTGTTCAGACAGGCATTTCTGAAGTCCTTGTTACTGCTACAGCTCACAATACTGATGGATGAACTGATAATCACTTCAGCAGCTGAACGCAGCTTCTCTTGGTCCTTAATTGTTGCACACAACACCCAAACACACACTGTTACAGCTCCAATCAATTATTAATTTTCCTTTATGTACTGATTATTTTTTACAATTAAATGATTAATTTGATGAATCTGCTGCAACCTGCAAATGTTATACAACGTTAATAATAAACTGATAATCAAACCTGTTGCTGATTCATTTTTCTGCGATTAGCATAATAATTGTTGAATTTTCTAAATTATGAAAACAATATATGATCAAAGAGCGCTTCCTCTCTGACAGTTATTGTCATTGTGTATCTATTGTATATTTAGATTTGCCTTTTTCCGGCGATTTTGGGCTTTCAGTGTGTTCTTCAGCTCAGTCTGAAGGGCTGCTGTGACTGCCTTCCTGTTGTTGTTCAGAATATCATCCAGGTGGTGCTCTAACAGCGTCTCTGTGGCTGGGTCACAGGTACAGAGAAAAGGAAAATATGAGAGACAAACTTTAACTGAGCGTTTTGTGATTTTCCCATGCAGCTGTCTCTCACCCACAATATCAGAGAGCTGGTGGGTGAATGGGTCACTGTGCTGCAGGAAGAGGAAAAGCAGGAGACTCTGGTTCATTCGGTGAAGATTTGATTCTTGCTCTGGATCCTCACAGTTTTCTTGCTCTACTGTGTACACGGTGCCACCGCTGTGTACACGATCTGCAGTCAATATTTATTTATTTTTAAACGAAAAGAAAAAGAAAAGAAACATGATTATTAGTGATGATATCCAGTTCAAACAGTAACCACACTGCAAGTCTAGACTGGTACAGCGTTGGATTGTAAAAACCACAACATGTACATAACATTGTGGTAATGGAAGACACACCTTTGGGTTGGGCAAGTAATTGTTATAATGTTCAGATTTAAAACCTGAGTTGATTTAAGTTCACTGAGTTATAAGAATGTTTACAAAGTCTGATAGTAAGAACTCTAGGACCTCAAAACGTGTCCCTATTCAGACCAGAGTAACACAAACTTCACTGATGTTTACGACAGAGGATCTTCTCTCCATCAGCAAGAAGACTGGAGTAAGCTTTCTTATGGGGCATTTTTGTTTCGTTAATATTGTGAATGGATAGGCTACATGTGATTCATGACTTGTGGTTTTACTTGTGATTATAATTCGTTATGTAATCTACAAGAAAAAAATTATGTATTAAGCAAGAGCAGTTTCTGGGAAATCTGAGTTTTTATTTTATTTTATCACAGTATGACTGCCCTATATTGGATCCTGTCCTCTGAGCGATCATCAGATCAGAGATAATTTCCTGATGACTAAGTTTAGTTACAGAAAGAGTGTCTCTTTCCACTATACCAGATCAGTTCAAATCAGTTCTCTCACACATGGTTTAGAATAATCCTACATTTAGCCTTTTGACTTACCTGACTGACTGAGACAAAAACCTGAGTTACTTCACCACTAAATTAAACGTTGAACAAGGCAGAATTCAGAAAGGCTGACTGTTGGCTGGACACACAAGGATTATTTGGACATTTTCACTGAAGACAAACCACCTGCTTGTACAAACTAAGTACTTTGACATTAGAAAATAATAATTTTCATGAAATCATATTTGCAGGTACAAAAAAAAAATTCTGTTCACATGCCAGTATTTTGCAGTTAAAAAATAAATTTCGGGAAAAAAGTAATGTCGCCTTATTAGTCTTTTTTACACATATTTAGAAGAGACACTAATGTTGATCATACCTGCAAAATGTTTTATTCTTTAAAATCCCATTGTGGAAACTAAGGCAAGATTAAGGTATGATTAGATATTGACAACTAAGCAATTTAGTAATGGTCAGAGAAACATCACAGTTAAACGTGACACATGCAAACCACTGATTTCTAGTAAGACCAGATGGAAAAACTCTATCTCTGCCACGATTTCCACACCCCAACTCTCTGCTCTGAGAATTGTTTTTCTATGTGAATGCAGCACAACATCAGAACTAAATCATCACAATGAATGTAGACCATGTGTGCAGATTAGTTGCATGTGAACGAAATTCACAGAAGACACTGACAATGTAGTTACAGTCATTTGACCGCTGGAGCCCAGAGCCATTCCTCTCTAAGTGCTGTCACTTTAAGGTCCTTTTGTTACTGTGTTCTGTGTGTGTTCTTTTTTTTCTACCTCCATTGTTTGTTGATTTATTCCTCTGATTCAAATTACAGGCTTTTTGGGATCCATTAAAGTTTTTATAAGCAGCTTCAGGCCAGGGCATATTTTCTGACTAATAAACACAGATGGGTGAAATTAGTCTTCTTCAACTCAGGCCTCAGTCAGAAAGCAATCCCATTCAGGATTTTCAGAAAGTGACTTTTTAAGACAGGATTATCTGTCCTGGACTTCAGGTTCAATTTACACCCTATCCAGGAAGACTGGCCCCTTACAGTTCCTCTGGTGGAAGACCTAATATGGAGCATATGTATGGTTGTTCCCATCAGTGGTTGTTGTTTACCTTTGAAGAAGAAGCAGCGAAGGCTTGGCAGGCCTAGTTCCTGACAGTCCAGATGTGCAGGGAGGTTCTGGAAGAAGGTGGAGGGGCCTGTGACAGGAACATTACTGGGGCTGTATACCAACACATGGACACATGTGAAGTCAAGGAAGACTAATCCAAATCAGATGACCGTACCACCTCAACTGAGGGCAACACTAAGGAGCAGCGGCTCTACTGTGTGTCTGAGCTTATCGCCCACCTCGCTCTCTATCTGTGAGACCAGCCAACCTGCAAAGGAAACTCATTTTGATTGCTTAGATCATGATTTCACTCTTTTGGTCATTACCTAAAGTTTATGACCGCAGGTGAGGGTTGGAACATAGGCTGACGGATAAACTGAGATCTTTGCCTTTACACACAGAGCTGTGCTGAGCTAATAAAGTAAGCTGGGTTCCAACTTTTCTCTCTCTTTTTTCCTTTGTTACACAACTATTTCCATCTGAGAGCAACACAATAGTGTTGGGTGGTATGACCAAAGAATTGTATCATATTTTTTAAGATTCTGGCAGCATGATTGGGCCTTTATATAGGTTTATAGTATAGTATAATGTAGTCTTATTCTACTGTCAGGAGCACATAGAATATAAAACATTTAATGTCATCACGTATATACTGAAGGTTTTGATTATTGTAGCGTGTACATGTATGGAGGGCCAGGAACTGAGAGACAAGAAAAGTTCTATTGCTGTGTGCCATGGTGTTTTGCTGTTAAAGAGAGTTAGTTGTGGGTTCTTAGTGGTTGTGTTTTAAAGTTATGACCATTATATGCAGTTAAGAGGGCTAACCTCTTAAAACACGCCTCACGGTCTTTGCAGCAAGAATAATATTGCTAACTATTAAAGAATTACAGCCAGCTGTGCACCAGTATGGTTGTATATGAAAACCACATATCAAACAGGAAATTAAAACCAGAATACCAGTTCATCCTGCATATGGCCCAGCACTACGACACTATGAATGTCTTTTGGGAGAGACAGAAAATGTGTGGCATTATCATCATATTTAAACAATATCATGTCTATATGAAGGCCGGCTTTTCACTGCGCCTTTGAGCGTAGCCTTTCAGAACAACTAGAAAATTGAGGTCTTAAACACTAATTCTGTGCGAGCTGACCCCAAGATTCTCCTTCACTTGGAGCAGTGATTCTCTTCCAATCCAGAGGGACTACCATGGCCTCAGAGTTGCTGACCCTCATTCACACACAGCTGCAAAACCGTCCCAGTGCGCACTGAAAGTCGCAGTCTGATGAAGCCAGCTGAACCACGTCCTCTTCAAAGGGCAGAGACCCAATCCTGAGGCCACCACAACAGACACAACTCGACTGTGCCTAGACATTCTGTCCATTAAAATCACACACAGAAATGTGATAAAAAAATCAAAAAGGATATTTGTATGTGAGTGAGTTGTGTTGCCAGATTGGGGTACTGCAGCACACAGGGGGTCAGAAGTGTGACAGGCTGGATGCTGAGCTCCCCAAACAGGCCCTGGTCCATGGCTTCAGGTGGGATACTGAGTGGCAACCTGCTTCCAACGACAGGGTGTCCTCCCTCACACCAGCATCCTTTCTTCACACACTCTGGAGACCTTCAGACCCAAGAAGAGAGTATCCACTTTCAACAATATACCTTATATGCCCCGGTATTTTCAACATTTTTGTATTTCATTAAAGGATGAATATACAATTATTTTGGTTATACATCGGTACCTGCAGGGTTTGATTATTTTTCTACTTAAGGCCGATAACATTGATCCACACAAACAACTAAACATGAAATAATATTTAAAAAGAGCATTACTGACTGTGTACTAGAGGTGACATCCAAGTTCAGTGATGGTTGGTTTGCCCATGTTACTTTGCTCTTGATCTTCACTCTGCAAGGATATGAATATAACGTTAGCACTTCATAAAAACAGGCTCAAGGGGGTTTAACAGGAGTAGTGAGGCATTGTGTTTGTTAGTATGTTGAAGTGCTAAAAACATAACAAGCGACTGTTAAAATCTAATGCTTTGTAGTATTTGTGTGTGGGGAAAAATTTGCATTTATACATTTAAATAACTTAGTTAAATATATAATAATAAATATATAATAATAATATAAAACAAAATAGATTAATTCTGTGCAATACTGAGTGACTGAATTAATCATTGCAGAATACATCGGGCATGTGAAATCTATAATCAATAAACAATCCCAAAAAAACACAGTTTTAGTAATCATTCATGAGGTCGTCTAACAGGTGGGAAACGTGCTAGATTTACGAGAGAAGAAAGCGATGAGCTGTGCCTGCATTGTTGGCCGTCATACCTAAATTCTCGCTGGAAGGTCTGCTGACTGAAGTTGAATTTTAGGTGGATTTTGATCTGTGAAAAAGAAGGGTAGTCACATTTTTGCTACCAACTTTAAAACAGTCCTATGGTTACATTTCAGAGGAAAACAGGTCCTACCCTTGCGTTAGTCAAACTGAATGTGTGTAGAAACGCCTCTATACGAGTACACCACTCGGGACTGAAAAGCCTCGCATCTTTCATCTGTACAGAGCAAAGATATTGAAAGAGATGATGTGTCACTCACAGGTTGACTGCGATCTTCTATCATTAATCACACTTTAAAAGACATAGAGGAGCAAATGCTCATGCTCTATTAAAAGTAATTATTATTTTAGCTGATAAAATCCTAGAAGTGGCTCCTTTTTATTTGTACCTGAAACGACAAGAGTAATCTGAGGGAACCATACAGATCAGTGAAGTCACACAGCTCCTCGGGGTCAGGCTGAGGACACGGCCATGCGCAGGGAAACATGCTCTCCTTCAAATCTGTAAGAACTAGTGTAGCAAAAAGGGGTGATGTAGTGTTTAAAAGCTCAAGGTCTGTGTGTACATTAAGTGTGTGTACATACCCGGTTGAAGTGCTGCCATTTTAATCCCTGTGCACCAGGGACCAGCAGCTGCAACTGCACCACAAATGTGAACACCGTTATAACACTTTGTGCTTTATGTCAATTGTTTTTAAATTGTTTAGAAAGGGAATCTTAACAGCAGCTGGCAACAGTCACTTTTATTCTCTCTCTTAGCTTTACACTGTTCGGAGCTAACAACAGAAATCAAATCCAGGATAGTCCAAATAAATGTGTACTCACTGAAGTGACCAACTATCACATTTCACCTATATCATGTCTTTTTTTATTGTGCACTTTCAGATTTCTTTAAAATTCAGTGTTTGATTCACACATGTTCTCACAATTTTTTTAAACCTGAAATGTTGTTTTATCTATATATGAATAATTGTTAGCAGTGCTATTTCATAAAAAAAAACTCCTTACTTAACAATGTTCATCACAGGATGAGTGTTGGAAGCTCGTTTTCTGCTGCTAAATCAATGTTTTTGTGCCTTTTATTCCCCACAATTTACCTACATTTCACAGATAGTATATTTGAAGTAGTGTTAATTACATGTGAATGTTAAAAGTAGCTTTTTCCACTGGTATAACTTTAGTTCATCCTGATGAACCAGCTCACAGAAATCATTAGGCTTACCAGTGCAGTTCAAACACTGACCAGAAGCTCCTGTGTCAGTCCACAGAAGAACCAAAAGCCCCCCTGCAGTCTTTGAACCACACTTTAGTTTTTTCTTTCCCAAAAGCATCACCAACCGCAGCACCTGAAAGTAAGTTTCACACTCACAGTTTAGCTAAATAAAACTAGCATATATGCTAATTAGCGTCACACTTTGATTGACAGCCTCGATTTGATTGACAATTACGAGCACTGCCAATTAATCAATACTTTTACAGGCACAAACTTTGTGTTTCGATGTAAAATTGACCCCATTAATGTTAATTTACCTGCTGTATCTCTCGGAGCATCGTTAATCAATTGGCACAATTTAACCGCCGTGCGCGCGCCACGGACTGCGCACGTGCCTGGCCCACCGCGCTCACAGGAAGATGATCGATAATATTTACTTAACCAACACTTTCACACCCTCCATCACAGCTAGCACTGTAGTTACATCTGTGAAATCTCTGGTAATACCTTACAAGTGCGATGAGGAACATCTGTATTAGTATTAATGTATAAATCAATAATTAATATCTGGATATTATTTGATCATTGTATTTAGCAGGACCATAGACAGGAATTTATAAACCAAGAAGTTAAGCCAAACAAATAAATGTTTCTAAACATTTACTTCTGTATTAAATCTGTATTATGTTGTAATTGTAGAATGTAAGTTCCTCTTCATGTCTTCAAACTGCATTTATTTACAGAAATTACTGCATGTTAACATATCATTTATCTTCTCCCTGCATGTCCAGATATTCAGCTCTCTGAAATGATCTCCACAAATACATACTGATGAAAAAAAGAGTAGGCAACAATTTATTTTATTTGTATTTAATCATACATTTTAAATACAACAACGCAGCATATGAAAACAAAACAGTATCAAAAGATAAACAAAAACACAAAAAATGTTTCTCTATTTTGTCTAGTTTTCACATTTGTTGTTTGTATAAATATATGTGAGGTTTGGTCTTCAACAATATAAATATATAAGAGACTTTTGCCTTCAACAAGAATCACTTTCCCTCTTTCTCAGACCACTCCTTGTATGCTCCGGCATAATTACGGGCCCTGAAACAGAAGACAGAGAGAAAACATTTTAGAACAACAAGAAGAAGTGACACACATACACAGCCAAAGTTCAGTGTTTCTGTGAGGAAACAGTAAACAAAGTCGTTGTTAAGGCATGAGCTGAATCTTAAAAACAGCCAGGGCTATTGATGTGGGAGACTTGGACTGTCTGTTTAAGAGCCAGATGGGGTGTCTGTATAATGTATAGTAACCAATAAGTTATTTACTTGACGAATCCAAGTTCGTGGGCTTTGTTTGTGGCCGTTCCCCCTCTCCTGCCCATCTGGCAGTGAAACACCAGCTCTGGCGTATCCAACGGTGGCTTTGTTACTCCATACTTGGCCTTGAATTCTTCTGGCTCCATTTTAAGAGCTGCCTCTACCGTATCAACTGAGCGAGTGGGAGGAAGGCAGAAAGGTGTTTTAAGATTAAAAAGATAATGCACAAACAAATTAAACATTCAGAACCTGAAAAACCAGACTACAGCCCACTGATGCTCATCCACAACTGTACAACTCCACTAAGTGGTAACACTGAGGGAGAAACAAGAAATCCAGTGTCCAGTATACTGTGTTAACCTTGATGTTGTTTTTCCCTCATTGTAAATTAATTGAAAAGAAGCTCACGTGGGATGTTAACAGATCCTGGAATACGTCCTTTATCCACTTCCTCTTTACTGCGGACGTCAACCAGAAGGAGATTCTGGCTCTTTCCCATAAGAGCTTTCAGATCTTCATAGGAGATTTCCTTGGAGACTAACGAGACAGGAAACACGTTAACGGCTTTGCAAAGTGTGATCAGCCATTGTTGAATTATATTGATTATATTGCATCATTCACACAGGTTAGGCTTCAAGTGATAAAACACAGTACTAACCATCAAAGGCCGGTGACTGACCTTTTCAAACAAAAGCAGTTACTGCTGGTGTGATGTCATATGTAATGCTGTAAGACACCTGCTGTATGCACCTGTCCCACACAGTTAAACAGCCTGTTTAATTGGGATGTACCAACCGATATGGGCACCGATTATGTGACACGATCCACATTAAATACAGTTTATTTGTCAGTGTCATAAAGTTCAGTGTTTCTGCAATTAGCTAAATTCATTCAGTCACACTGGGCTGCTGACTCAGCTGTTACCTTACATAGAAATGATCCCAATAAGCTCCACACAGTGAGCTGTACAGATTTTAAATGTGAGTCAAAGACAGAAAGCACTGCTATCAGTTCAGTACCTGTGACAAAGTATGTGAAGAACTATCAGGAGAGCAAATCATTGTCAGGGTACATTGCTCTCCTGAAGACCGCTCCCTCATGTTGGCACGCATACTTTTTATAATAATCAAACTGTGTGTGTGTGTGTGTGTGTGTGTGTGTGTGTCTGAAGATGAGGATTAAAGGTACAACCTCCCCCTCTCTCCTTTGATGTAATAGGTTTTGGTATGTAAACCATTATCATTTTTTCCATAATTGTGTAATAGTGAAACCGGTTTGTTGGTTGTTGCCATGGACTGGGTGTTGCTTGGCATTCCCTATGGATACAAGTAGCTTCCGGTTTTACCGTATGAAGACTTTTATGCTGAGTCATTCTATGAATATAACCACTTAATATTCTTACAGGATTATTCCCTCATTTTATATTTATTAGTTGGTAGAAATCTAACTAACGCAACAACTCGGGTCCCACCGTTAAAGCCGTTAACCAAACTTTACCTGCGATAGTTGTTTACTACTATTTATGGACTGCAAACAAGTGTTAGTTAGTTATTTAGCGGGAAGTTGCACCTCCACCAACGTTAGGGATGTTCCCTGTCATTCATTAAAGTTCATATAGGCAGCAGTTGTTATAAATTATGTCAGTGAGTGAAGAGAAACGAAGACTCACCTGTGCTCGCCATCCTGATTGTATGAAGCTGTTATTATGAATGGTGAGCCCACACGTTATAAACAATACACCTTCTTCCTCATATTGTTTAGTGACAATCATTGGCTCAGACGCCAAGAGAAGGCGGGACTTGGGACAGTCGCTGGCCAATAAAATCAACTTCCCAAGACTTTCAAAATAAAAGTGTGAGACTTTGAAGTTGCAGACCTTACTGGAGGATTCAGGTCGTTAACTGAAAGTAGGGATCATAGCACAATGTAAAGAAATATTCTGTTGCCGGTAAATTTCCAGCATTCAAAATTCAGCCACAAATATAAAAGTATTGCCAGTAAAATATAAAAGTATCAAAAGTAAAAGTACTCCCGTACCATTTAGAATGAGCCTTTCCAGAGTGTTATCCCATTAAAAATACATCATTACAATTATTTAGTTTTATTAACTAATTAAATTAAATTAATTTTATTATTGTAGCTGGTCGAAGTGGAGATAATTTTAACAATTGTATATCCTGATCAATAGTTTAATCTATAAAAATGCATCATATTTTATAAACTGATTGTGTAAAATCTTTATATGCAAAGTAAAATGTAGTGGAGTAAAAAGTAAATTTTTACATTATTTATCTCTGAAATGTAATGGAGTAGAATACTACTAATAATAAAAATAATAAAAAATAAGCAGCAGAGCAAACAAGAGTACCTTAATATTGTTCTTAAACAGCACAGGGGTCAATGAATGGTCTGATAAATGTTGTATGGTGACATCATGCATCAGTCACAAATCTGGACCCAAATAAACATCTATGGGGTAATTTGGACTGACTGTTGTTCAACACTTCCAGTAAAGTTTCAGAGACGTGTTACCAAAGCAGATTAAATCTGTTCTTGCGGCTTGTGGTGGCCCAGCAAATTACTCACACATTATCTTCATTAACTTGTCACCCTTACACCACTTACAACATGTAGCCCTGTGCAAAACCTCAACCAAGACATTTTTAGACAGTTTTTTATTAAAATAAGATTTAGTTTATTACAAAAGTTTCAGTCAATACATCCTAAAAATCAACAATATTTACAATCAAATTCAGCCATGATGAAATAAGATATATAAAAAAAACACTACAATAAACCTATAATAAAAATAATAAACCTACAAGGGTTAATTTGCCAGCAAATAAACTTGTAGTTACTAACCTCAAAATAAAAGAATTACCCATTTGTTAGTGTTATTACATGAACACAACTCCCCAGTATGTTGACGTATTCCTTGAAACAGGACTGTATACAATTTCTTAATTCTATAATCAATCACGACACCACCCCGGAACGATTAGGCTTTTGTTTGTGATTACACTGTGAAGGTGCCCCCTGTCTCGGGGAGGCCTGTTCAGTGTGAACGGGATGGATTGTCCGTGCTGAACTAGTCTGGATCACAGTGTTCCCTCTGTGTTGTAAGACGGGTTCCCCAGTCCATCAGTGGAGTCTCTCTTTGCCTTTTGACGCATTTTATACTTCCAGAGGATCACGGCTGCTATGATGAGAAGTAAAAGAAAGGCGACTCCTCCTCCAATGACCCCAATCAACAGTTCATGGTCAGAAGATGCAGGAGGGTCATACCGCATGCAGGAGAAGTCTGAGGGGATGTTGTGTCCTGCCTTGTTCACCGCCTCCACACACACCTTGGTCCCAGCTTCCAAAGATCCAACCAAACCCCTACGCAAAACGTCCCCAAACTCCAGGGCATCTCCTTCACTTCCCTGAATCACCACCCTGTATCTAGACACCACAGAAGAAGGAGCACACCACTGGACTTCTATCTTCCCTCTGTCATCCCCTTCACTGATTGGCAGCAGTGCTTGGATGCGTGGTGCATGAGGAGGCACATCAGCCCCACTGATCCCGGGACAAAGGCATCCAGTCTTTCTGGAAAGATCGGCACAGGGCTCCTGATTCTCTGAGCAGGAGTCGTATTGGCAGAGCTGCGGTGTCGCTTGAAGAATGGGAGTTCTCACTGAGGACAGCACTTCAGGAGGGTGTTCCTCATCAGGGTAGTCATCTTCATAGTTCTTATCTGAGCCCAAGCCGGTGATGAATTTGATCTGTGGATGAGTGACGGAAGGGGAAGTAGAGGCAGCGTACGTGAAATGGTGGGAGTTGAGGAGAGGTGAGGCACTCAGAAAAAGGAGAAGCGCAGCCAGGTTCCAGCAAAGTGACGTCATCTCTACGGACAGAAATGACAAATGATTACAAAAATAATACATCCAATAATACAGCCATAAATAGATCACTAACACTGTATGTTTATCCATTCAGCCAAAGAGAGAAAACTTTCACCGGTCGTTCTTTCTCATTTGACCTTGTATATTTAAAGTACACCTAGAGGTTATAATAAGTGATTTAAAGTGTAAATAAAGAATAAAGGAACTGAAATCGAGAAGTTATTGTAATAATGGTCAGTCACTGCGTCAAAACACAGAAACCAAAATACAAGAACTTGGTTATAATACCAGACAAAAGCCTGGCAAAAAAGATGCACAGTGGTTCCAAGAATAAGAGAAAGGGAGAGAATGATTTAATTAAAAAAATAATTCATTTCTGCCTTGTAATAGAAGACAAGAAAGGTTTGTTGAGAGTGGTAAGACGAATCTCTTTGGCTTGTTGACTATGCTATTTTACAAAAGTTTACGACTCGGAAATGGCTCTGTGTATAATCAAGCTTTCGCAATGTTCTAGTTTCCATCCTGTAAACAGCTTTAGATAAATAAATGCTGAGTCCTGGAAGATAAAACCACAACTATTGGGGTGACCCCATCAGCACTTCCATTTTCTCCTGGCAACAAGCCAGATGAGTTCTGTGGGAACACAACACTGAATCAAAGCACAGATGAATTTTCACTTTACACTCTTTCACTTTAAAGTAACTCTAATACTAGAAGAATGTTTTCTCATGGCCATAAATACTCCTGATGACTGCAGCTCTAAGAATAAACACCAAACCATTCCAGTGTTTTACATCTGGTCAGCACACTTGTCACCATGGTGATAAAAGTGACTTAAAAGTAAAGTGTTAGAAATGGTTTACAGTACCTGTTTGTTGGTGATGGATATTCCAGGTCTTTAGTCTCTCTTTCTCTCTCTGTGTCTGCTCTCACCGTGTACTCACTAACGTCTTCTGTTCTTACCGTCTTAAGTTGTTTCCCTCAGACTCTCCTCCTCCTCCTCAACACCCCCTCCCTTTCTCCCCTCAGTGCCTCTCCCTCCCTTTTTACTCTTTCATACTCTGCCTCTGTCTTTTTTCACTCCTTCTATTTCTCAACAGGGCTTCCAAGCAGCCATCGTTTGCTCTTTTTATTTTTCTTTGTGTGGAATTTTTCTGTGAATGTGTGTTGGGAGAGTGAGAGGAGGGGAGCGACAGGAGCGGGATGCCTGTGTGCTGCTTAGCATATTAATTTGGTAAGCTGCAGCGGGTGGCAGGCTAGTGCTTGTTACAGAATGTGTTTGAGTAATCCGGAGGTGTAGCTGCCTGTTTTTGATTACTTCTTTAAGAGTTCCTGCACACTCCGCAGGTGTTCTTGTGGAGACAAACAGGACGTAAGGTCACTTCAGTGTGTGTTTATGTGTGCCTTTGAGGATGGGGGGTGAAGAATGCATGCATGTGTATTTATGATGGGCCCCCCTCCACCTCTTGTAGCCCCCATTGTATCAAGCTGGAGGGGGATGATCAAGGCTTTCTCCTCTCTCATCCTTTTATGGGGTAAAGCTGGCAAAGTAGGCGTGCTCTTTCTTATTCCAAGTACCCACATTGTACTGATGAGAGGAAAAGTACCAGCGCAGAGGCCCCCTTCTTTTCTAACTTCAGGTCTCAGAGGATTTACCCGACCTACACCAAAAACCAGACGGGGCCCGACCTAAAATTCCACATAATTTCTGCTTTCTGGCGTCCTTCTAACTTGAGCCCTGTTGAAACAGAATATGTTTTATTGTTAAATAAACATGTGCACATACAAGGAGAGTTTTTGGAGAGTTGCTTACATAGTAAGGGGAAAAACCAACAACGTAAAACAAACTACAGTTAAGTGAGGTTTTGAGAGTGTACACTTACATGTACAAATCAACTTATGTTCATATGAAGGCAAACTGATTTAATGTGTTCACAAAATAGAGCCTGAGGTTACAGAAACAATCAATTATCGGGAGATGAACAAACACAGAAGAGACACTTAAATGTAAAGCCACTTAAATTGTACAACAGGAAATACAGTTCAGATTTATGTAGTGTTTTCATACAATGTTTTATAATGTACTTAATTGGGAAAACATGTTGAGTTCAGATTTGTGTGTACAGTTCCTTACGTGCATCAATATTGTACTGATGGAGCTTAGATATTAAGATTGAACAATAAAAATTATAATTTTTAGTGTCAAATTCAGAAATGTATATATTCTCTAATACCGTTCATGTGGAGCAAAGGTGGGGGATTTCTCCTCAAGTCTACCCTCATCGCTACATTTTTTTCAGGTTTCCACTTCAGGTTGTTTTGGCTGCATGAGACAACCATCTCTCTGCCTTACAGCAACAACCTGCCCGTAACTGCATGGTACAGGTAACTGTGACTCCTCAGAAGTCAAAATGATTAATTTTAACATTCATTCCTGAATGAAACAATCCATTCCCAGGAACTTTGAGTTTCTCTTGAGTCCAGCAGAGTAGTTGTTATATAAAATTGAGTCATGCCTATGATCATAAAGCATTTTTACTCCTAATGTTTGAGCGCTGAACATCTCACCCTTCAATTAACAAAGTTTCAAATGACATCCGTGATGTGTGGGGGATATGGTACTCTGAGTGTGTCACTGTGGGTGATCACAGAATTAGACTGGGACCAATACGGCTATTAATATTGTATGAGTGTCCAGATACTAGAAAACATTTCGACAAACTCAGGATATTTGTATGAGTGAGCTCATACTTGTGGGGTACGGGTAGGATTACATCAGAAATTGAAAGAGCTCCTCTTTTGTTCAAATAAGGGAAGAGGACAAGAGAGTGGTGAACACAAACAAGTATGTGAAAATGTTTACAGGGACTGAAAACTGAAACTGAAAAAAAAAACTATCTGTACTTCTCAGATCGACTTTTTTTTTTGTCTCTTGTACTTTGCCTCCGACTATCATAGCCGTATCACTTAAAAATGTAAGCACTCTAGGCATATTTGCATGGTATTAGACATGCAGTACCTTAAACCACTTTAAATTCCATTGTATAGTGACTAACAGGCAGCTCTTTGTTGAGTTAACACTCGTGGTCATGGGCAGGTTGGTCAATCACAGATAAATGTCTGGACTCAGCTTTCAGGCGAAACCAAGCACAGCACAAGAGTCAGACTCATAACTGCGCTCAGATTATACCACTGATACACTTCGTTGTTTTGTCTTCACTGGTGACGAGTGAACACGATCGGTGATCACGTTTGAAATGTTCAATAGTTTTTTTCAATAGTGGGCGACATCACTAGGGAGACAGTATTCACTATAAATAATTTTTCCAGTGACAGCCCAGCGTGCTGAAGTTTTGTACGTACTGTGGCTCCGAGGCCCCTGAGGAATGAAGGAAGCCACTGAGTGTGAGTCATAGGCCTCCTACTCCAGATAATGACTATGCCGCCAGTGCATTTTCTCTCTCCCACCACCACAGCATGTTAGAGCATGCTGATGTGAGACAACCTGCATGTATAACTGCCACCATGATTTGATTGTAGATAGCGTCACAATTTCACCAGAGCGTTGTAAAGTCTCACACAAAACAGATTAGTTTAATTTTTGTAACTCAATAAAATAATAGTAATTTAAGGCAGAAATTCCCCTTAACAAAATCCCCTTACTTGAATTTCACTCACTCATTTAGTCATCTGTCGGAGTGTGACTTATTGGAATCAGAAGTGTGTGGGCCTATCACAGATGCTCATTCCCTCTGCTACCCACACCTCTCTGAGGAGTTAAAGCATTCCAGTTAAAACAGGAAGCACTTCTATTGGCTATGTCCTCATCACCTTTGACCCCCGCTTCATTCAAAAGGAATCCCAGGGAAGTCTTGTAACCAGACTCTGTCTAGTTGTGTGAACTGCTATTTTTAGCTAAAAAACACCGTGGAGCCAGAGTGGGCTATGCAGTCCTCGCTGTTCCTCGAGGGGATAATTGGAAACAGGCGTGTGATAATGTAGCAGCTCCATCCCATGACGAGGTCTCGCATTCCTACTTCCACTGCATGCTTGTGTGATTATAAATAATACATAATCTAAAGAGTGAATCACAGAAAGCATCCTGAAACATGCAGAGTTGACAGATATTAACCTTTGTTAGGGCGTGAAAATGTTCTAAATGCCTATTTATGTATTTATTTATTCATCTATTTATGTATCTATGCTATACAAGACAGTATGTGTTGATGCTATGGCAACAGATACGGACCTCACATGTTGTTATGTCTCAGTTCTTTTCTGATGAGCAACAGAATGCGTCACACCTTGAATAGATTACACAATATAAAATATACAAAGCTTGAGTGGAAAATGCCCCAAGTAAGTCTGTTGATTGTTTACATGTCAGTGTGACTGCAGGATTAAACTAGATCATAAACAATATTTACAGCATACACTGCAGCATGTTTCTGGTTGTTGATATCAAATCTCACCTTTTCTACGTAGTATGTTTAGTATACATTGAAAGATTTGGAAACTGTTCTCTGAGTGCAGGGTTGGAGCTAGAGAGATTCATTCATGGGGTGGCAAGAAGACGTGGAGACTTTAAGGAGTGGCAGAAATATATACTGATTTAATCGCAAACAATATGTCAATATTCTCTTGGAAAAGTCCCCAAATGAAGAAATTGTAACTCAAATGCATTTGAGTTTATAATTACATTATTGGGGCACATTTATAAAGCACTGAATATAAATTGAAATATCTACAGGTGGTATTAGAAATCAATAAATTGTATTATTTCCAAATATGTGTATTTTTTCATTGAAGCCTATCACTCTAAAATGTGGCCATAGCAAATAATTGAATGAATTTCTGTATTTTAACATGTTATCTTTCTTAAAAAATAATCTAAATTAATTTGTTAAATTTGACAGCATTTGACACCAAACCGGAGACCCTCCCATCCCACCCATCTAGCTCTGCCCCTGTCTGAGTGGTGTAATATTGGTAACTTTGTTGTTACACATTATTTTAAACCAACAACATGTGGCATGATAACAGGGACACTGTAGCCTAGTAGTACTTTAGGCCTTGTTTGTGCCTAAACTACCACTAAATAACCCCACAACAGGCCTTTTTCACAGCAGACATTTTAACTTGTCCTTGTAAGAAAATTCACGTGTTACTAATAACTAATAATGGTGCTGTTCTGTTCGAGCTAAAAGGAATTTAAGCCATCATTCATTTAATTATTTACACCTGTGTCTCCATTGAAAAAAAAATCCCTCTGCATTGTCAGAACTATGACCCAACTTTTGTGTTGTTTTTCCTCAAATAGACGGAAACAGACAGCAATTAGTTGGCTGAGTTAAGGTCTATTGAAATTAAGGCTGAAATCAAATGTTGGGTAACTTCCAACCTTGTTCTTGTTTTTTACAATCCTGAACAACGCCTTACACAGAGTTATAGCTCCACTTAGTGGTGAATACTTGTTTTTGTCCCCTATCACATGAATAAAAGAAAACAAAAGTTCCTTTGAGTGTCTCTCAGAAGAATCTAGCTGTGGTTCTTACCTATTTGAGGTTATCTAATTGAATCTAATGGGCTGGTAAGTACGCTGACTTGATCTGATTTATTCTTTGTACCAGGAAAAAACTCAGCACATAGTACAGGACACTGAAATTATTATTTTTTTCTTTATGTGCATTTATTTGCCATCATAATGGCAACGTGAGATTAAACATGAAACCAGAATATTACATACAGTGGGCATATCAAACAAGATTATAATGCAATTGCTTTTGTTGCTCACTGACTGTGAAATTCTCTCACTTCAGTTATCTCTCTCTCTCTCTCTCTCTCTCTCTCTCTCTCTCTCTCTCTGACCTCCTCTCTGGCTTTATAAAGATGAATCTTTTGCTGGGAAACTGTATGGTTGACCTACATGTTTAGAGATGAATCATAATTACCATCCCAGCCTGGTTTCAACCTATAAATTGTGCTCTCTTTGACAGTAAGGTGAGAAGTGTTCAGATGTTTTAGTTTAGAGTAAATGATGGCAGCGATGGAAAATAGTTCACATTTTATACTTTAAACTTCTATTCAAATGAAAACATTGTACTTTTTACAGTGGTAATTACTGCATAAATTGCAGATTAATAACATAAATACAAAACATATAATGTATTTCTAAAATATAATGCTGTAGATTAAACTACCCAACAGTAGCTGGTAAAATTATCTCCCCCTCAACGTTATTGTATACAATCATAAAAAGAGGCATTCTGCATAATGGGTGCATTTAATTTTGATTTTGCTGAGTTTTGTAGGTACAATTTAAAATGTAGGACTCTTAATTGTAATTGATAATTTACTGTAATATTACTACTTTCACAAGAAAAATATATATATTACTATATATATATCTATAAAACATTTATTTCCACTATATTTCAGAGGGAAATATTTGACTCGACCACACTTATCTGACAGCTGCAGTAAATAGTTACTTTACAGATACAGACTTTAATATATGCTGACATAATAAATTATGAGTAATAATAATCCAATAATATACAACTCACATACATAAATAGTATTTTATTTTGCTCATACTATTATGTACTTATACTGAAGAAAGCAAGAATGCAGGACTTTTACATGTAATAGGAGTAATTTTAAACAGTTGGATTAACTTTGGTCTTTGGACTCTGGTTTTTGAACATATTTTGGAGACACCCACGTTAGCTGGAGTTAGACCAGGAATGAACGGGAACAGGGAGGTTGCCTTTTATTAAAGTATGTACAGTAAATATTACTGTTAATGAAGCAGGACACCATTTAAATAGTTGCAGCACCATATTTTTAGTTGTTGGGGGTGCACCGGTTACTGGTTTGTACCTTGTCTGATAAACAATATAACTAACTCTGTGGCATAACTACTTGTTCATAAATACCCAGCCGTTACAGTTATAATGCTGAACCAGGTATTTTGCTCAGATATTAATATTGATCAGAGATGAGTTTTCCCGATATCTAAAGTCACTTCCCATACAATTCTGTCTGTATTATGTTTTTATCTTTAACAATCATCCATAATAGATTTCTTATTTTTTTGACAAATTCAGTGTTTCCTTCCTTCTAATGCAGGACGAGGCTGTTAATCAGAGAGTGAATAGCTTGTGTTCAGGTCTTCAAACAACGGATTATCCATAAATCCCAGTTGTTCATTACATCATCTTTAGGAAATTTTAAAAAAAGTGACTGAGCTGCTGAGCTGAGCTTTCTGGCACACAGGGAGGATGAATCTGTGGGATGATGAATGAATACTGTAGCTAGAAACTGCAATGCTTGTAATACCTCGCAAATGAAGGAAAAACACAGATGGTAATGTAGATGTTTTTATACATTTATACATTATAGTGATAGGGGAGAGGATATATATATATATATAGGCCTATATATATATATATATTTAAGTGTGGCTCCAGTGCGTCAAGGTTCCATCATTTTAGACCCACCCAAAAAATCCTAAACTCAAAACTGGTGAAAAAGAGAAAAAACTGTGTAAAAAAAAAAAAAAAAAAAAAGGGACAAAACTCTACAAAGCTATTATTTTGTTCAATGTGTTTAGAGAGAAATCTCTGAATTTCCTTCACATGGAGTTAAACTTAATAACATAATATAATATAACAATTAGATTTAAATTTCTACACAGAAATTAACAAAATGCTGAGAGAGTGTACGTTTAAAGAAAAATTAAATCTTACACCCCTTAAAAACCAAGAAGGACCCAACGGTGAAGCTTTGGCGACTCTTAGTGGGGGTCCAAAGAAGCCTCTTGCATACAGTGGACATATTCTCAACGTTAAACTGATACAGACGTTTAACGGCTGACGGTAAATTAAACCAACCCCCCCTTCCTCTCCCGTCCTGGTTGTAAACACTAACGGCTCATCATCCCCGTAAACCTTCATTTTCTAACCGAACTAACGGTTGAAGCAGACGTCAACCGTCGACGCTCACTCGGGTCTTTACGTGAATCCGAAAAGACACGAAGCGCCAAGCTCGTCCCACGACTTTAACCGTAACTGCCCCGAAGCTCCGCCATTGGTCCCAACCGTCCATCCGCCGGGGCAGGGAGGCGGGGCCGAGCTGTTGAATGACGGCCGTAGCTTTGTTGACACTTTAGAGCCGAAACAGCCTCCGGGACCCACACGGGCCTACCTAATTCACATTTACACCCGCGTACGTTTTATCAGATGAAACAGGAGGAGCGCCTAATCCTTTCGTTCATCGCCGGGGGGGATGTTGCGTACCGTGTGCGGACTGCGTGACTGGACGATACGGTGTCGGAGCCGAGCGGACGTTTTCACAGGTTGATGATCCGTGTTTGAGCACCGAGCAGGGAGACCAGCAAAAAGTACATAGCCTACATGGTTTCGGTCTCTATAGGCTGCTCCTTGACTCACAGGCGTACATGTTAAAGGAGCAATAGGCGGTGCCTGCTGTTTCCTGGAAGAGAAAAAAACCCCACAGACCTCCGAGCAGAATGGTACATTTAACAGGTTTATTGGCCGAAGTTGACGCTCAGACTTGGGCTACGAGCAGCGTGTAGGAGGCTTGTCTGCTCAGTAAGGGACCGTCTGTCTTGCACATTTTGACAGATAGCCAATCAAATCTGTTATTCAAATTGCTTCTCTTATATCAGTGACCTATATCTCATGCATGTGCGCCAAGAGTCCACAGTAACCTCTCCACCGGATCAGACAGCATGGGGATCAACGGGTTAGACAATCAGGCTCAGCCGTCCAGCGGAGACTCCCTGACGGAGCAGCCAGCTGCGGATCCTCAGAAGGAGCAGAGGGATGCTCCCGGAGGAGAAGCGGACCGGAGCAAGGATGACCAGGCGGCCGACAGCGAGTGTAAGATCGCGCAGGAGGACAGCGCCGTGCAGATGATCGAGGCCGGGTGCAAGCCTCCCCTCTCCCCGGGTTCTGAATCCGAGGCGGGGGTCCAGGTGGAGGTGCACGGCCACGGAGCGGGATTCGTCCCACCCGAAGGAGGTTACGGCTGGCTGGTGGTCTTTGCGGCCACCTGGTGCAATGGGTCTATCTTCGGGATCCAAAACTCTTTCGGCATCCTGCATATGATGCTGGTGAAGGAGCACGCAAACCCGGAGGACAAGACGTCTCAGTTCAAAGTGGGTAAGTACCAGACTGTGTGCTGATGGACTGGACGTTTATCCTGCATGTGTGCTTGGGTTACAACGATTAAAAGATGGAAATTGGACCTCCAGAGGATGCTTAACATTTGAAAGAATTTCAGCATGTAACAGCAGCCTAATAGTTTATGATCTATGGGTTTCTATAAATGTGCCACATACATGCAACAGTCTAAAAAAGAGTCTGGAGTTCAAGTGGGTTTACCCTGCACTTAAAGGGCACATAGTGTTACATTACATATGTGCCTCACCACTACATTTCTGCAGTCTGCATGTTCTTTTTCTTCATGCAGTCTAGAAATGATCCCTACCTCTCATTTAAGTTGGTCTGTTGCATGTTTTTTGATATCACTGGGGGTTCAGTGATTAGCAGGCATTTTACCAACCAAATGTGTACTGTACTCTCTACCCATTCATTAACACCACCGTTATTCTAGCTCCATTATCTGGCTGCAGCAAATCCATTTAAGTTTATCACAATCCGCCCTTTGATAAAGCATTTCCCCATAAGGCTGAAAGTTATAGAAATACAGACATCTGAACAGTGTGTGTAAACCTACGAACAAACTGTACTTAAAACCAACTCCCAACCAACTTTACAAAGTGAGACTTTCTGCAAGCCCTAATAACCCCCCCAATGTGACTGTACATTATTTCGGTTGTTATTGCATTGCTCTTTGGGGTTTTCCCCTTTCGCTGGACAGGGCGGGACATTACTGCCACATATAATATATAAAAGGCTAAAAGATCCTATGATAATTTAATTTCTGGAATTGATAATAATTTGCACAATTTACCGATTGTTCTGGCATATGTGACCAGAAAGAGGCCAATGTTCACCCCTCTCTCAGCCCTGCGGGCTTCAGTTTAAACCAGTTCCATTGAGGATTGTAGCACAAGATCTCACTGTATACTGGGTGGGGCAATACAATCATACTGCAGGCAAGGAGATACATCTGAATATAGAAATCACTAATGATAGTTGTCAAGTAATGATACACTTCATCCTTTTTTATTAGGTGAAGGGGTGCAACGACTTTCTGATCCTGTTGGAGTTCCATCATTAGTTACAGAAACTGACATTTTCTTGCTCGTACTTGTTATTATAGTGGAAATGTTGAGCTCAAAAGCTGAAAGCCGGCATCCAATTTATCAGCATCTCTGGAGGTTTGAGCCCTTGATGGTGTTACAGAGTCTCGGCCTGTAGCTTTGAGGTTGCTAATCACGTTAACAGCTGCTGACTAAATTAGTAATTGTGGGAGTTATTTTTTAATGATGGATTTATGTGGTGAGACTGTAAAAATGTTCGGCCTGCGCATTTTGGCGAAAAGATAACGGAGGGAAAGGGGGGAGCAGCCTGTAACAGGAGCGGGTATTTTTCTTAACTTCCTGTTAAGTTCCACAATCACCAGCAAAAGTTTAAGGTCAGGATGTGGGAAGGGATTACCGCTCTAAGACTGTTCCCTGGAACAAATTCAACGTTTCCCATCACCATGAAAACAGTTACTGAGGAAGAGAAATCAAAGGCTCAGACAGGATCAGGCTTATTTGTGTAAGCACAGGTTAATATCTTTTAATGTCATCTTGCACCTTGCCATCTCTTATTTATGCGAAGGATAATTGCTGTGTCTGAGGGCAGTGCGACAAGGCATCACATTACTCTGGTGTTTCGTGTGATGGAGAGCCTTAAACAGATATAGTATGACTGGTAGTTTCTTTTCAAAAGTCATCTAAGACCTGATATATCACTTATATATCTTACATTCAGCAGAGGGCAGTTGCTATCAAGATATTTCTATTCACCCCCCCTTTTTTTTTGGCTTGTTAAGGATTTCATCTCCAGCCGTTCCTTGGATCTGGTTCGTGGTGGTTCTCATATGTGAAAGGATTAAGCTAGTATGCTGAGTCCTGACCTTTTTTCCCCCCAGCGATGGAACAAAACAAAGGGGGGGGAGACAGCTTAACTATAATACTCACATTTGCAAAGTCTCCTTATGAACAACTGTCCAGTCCGAGAGAGTAACTGTCAGTAAAAGTTCAATTCACGTGTGTAGAACAAACACGTCAAAGGCAGTAAACTTACAGGACCATAAGGAGAAGAGGTGATTGGGATGTGATTAAATCTAAGCTAAGAGATTACCATTAGGTCTTTTTACTGAACTCAATTATACTGGGTATTTATGAAGCCCCGAGGGGTAAACAAGAGATTTAAAAATGGCTCAGGAGTACCAAGGTAGGGGATCAGAACCGCCTTTTATTAGTAAAAGAAGGTAATGAAGGGGAGGTGAGCGGGTTATGAGTTGCAGATGGCGTTGTTTTCCCCAGTGATTACAGCATGGCACGGTCAACAGTGCAAAACTGCTGGTATGTCAAGGTGTGCATGGGAGTGCAAGTATCCAACGGAGCGTTCTTTTAAAATTAAAAACAAAGAGTGCGGTGCTTTCATAATCAGTGGGGGAGTGAGCCCCCTCGTGAGGTGATGTGTGCTTGAATGTGGGAGAGAAGTTCAAGCTCTGCTGCAGCAGATTTAGAAAAACTGGGAATGTGTGTGAAGGGCCGGAAGAAAGGGACTGAGTGAGCAAGTGATTAATTTTTCATTGATCCCTAGAATGATTTCCATTTATATGCCACTAGTGTGAAACAAATCAGTAGGAACAGAATTTTGGTGCCTTGCTCAAAGGCATAAAGGCAAAAGTGATACAGTAACAGTTTTTAACATTAGTAGTGCTGCTTCTTTAGAATACGAGAGGTTTTCCTTCCACTTTATTGCGTTCCTTAGTGGACAGACTTTAAATCTTACTGACAGCAGCACAACATTAAAACACACTAAACATACAGTACAGTGTGCAGTAGTTAAGAATAGCTCATAATCAGTGCTGTAGTCTTTAAGCAGCAGTGGTTACATACAAGTAAAACTAGTCAGAGATTCGGACGTGTACTAGATGTTTTCCAGAAATGTGTGTTCAAATGTTTGATGATGCCACTGTCCTCCTCTTTGTGTAACCTTGTTCTTTGTTATTTGGCTTGGCAATCATGGGTATTAGGGTAAAATCAATATCAGCTTTAAACTTTTTTTGGGGGGGATTGAAGCTTTAGATAAGCAACATTAAGCAGGTGATTGTTACCTAAAAACAAAACAGGATATGTGTCTCCCCTTTTGTATAAATTGTATTTTGTATAATATAGTTCATATAGAATTAGTATGTTAAAAGACAATGCCCCATTCTACCTTCAAATGAACACTTCAACACTGTGTTCCTTTCGTTGTAATCAGAATGTAATCCTTCATAATATCAGATGTGGCTGGCACTCGTGGTGGACTTTTCTTAGAAGTATTAACTCAGTAAAAAAGCCAGGATTTAAACAGGTGTGTGTGCTGTCACAGGCAAACTTCTCCCCTCATTAGCACACTGCTGTGCTCTGTGTAGTGCTGTATTGTAGCTCTGCTGCCCCAGATTTCACCAGCATCTCCAGGGAAGCTGGAAATCCCAGGTTGGCAGATCAGGGAGCACTGTGGCATTTTTGGAATTCCAGAGGGAAGGGGATTGGGTTTAGGTCGGATCAGAGTCTCTAAAGTCTTCATGCACTCATAAGCAGGTGCATACATATTGTCAGGCCCGAGCAGGCATGGACTGTGCTTTTTATTTTACCATTGTTGAATTAATTTCTTTTAGACGGTTTTCAAGAAGGTGTGCATGGAAATAGTGACAGGTAAAAGAAAGCCTCCCTAGCCGACACAAGGGAGTGGGTAGGTGATAAGTAGCATCATCCTTTTCACAGTTAGAGGCAAATGTTTAGGGGAAATGTGGCATTAACCTTGAGAAACGTAGCACAACAGATCGTATTGAGGTCTGAGAGCCTGTTTATGCAGGACAATCGAGTTGTGCTGCTACACGCACATGTGACTCACTGCGCTCTCTGCATATCCATACACCCCATCTTGCATTATTGATAGTGTCAACACAAGCGGTTTGCACAGCTATATTAGATTGGATATGACTAGAAAACATCAGAAGGAGTTGCAGATTGCTAATGAGCGGTACCGACTGAACAGCTCATGGAGCATCCGGAAACTCCTGCTGTCAAACTCACCGGGCTCAAGCTGACATGTTTGAAGACACTTTTCTCGTGTCTGTAAACTATGCAGCCTCACCTGATGTTCTGTATGGTTAATAGCCAGCCAGGTAGTTGATGCTGAAACTAAACTTTATAAACACGATACCCATTCAGTTTCTTCTGTGAAACTCTGACAACAACAAAGTCATAACCTATCATTTATTTCTTGGCCCTTGTTGTAATTGGCTGGAAATACAATGCTACCTGTGCTGGGGATCTGCAAGCTACCTGCTGAGTTAAACTGTTTTGCTTCCATGTGTTTTCCTCAAGACAATTTTCTCAAAATGGCTTTGCTGTGTGCTCATAAACAGCACAACTGGTGTTTCTTGATAGTTATGTGTGTTGTCCAATAAGACCTGGTGAAAATGTAATCTAACTGAAGATTAACCCAAACACTGGCAGAATTCTGTTCTGGTAAACATAGCTTATAGTATATACAGTATCTTCTGGGAAACTTAACCACAGAGAGCAAACATGTCAGTGACAGACTCTTGTTGACTTACGTTATGTATATTTCCTGTTTTTAGAGATGATTAAAATGAAGACTGTACTTAGCTTGCTCTCAAACCCACCCATTAATAATACACTGTGGTCATTTTACAACTACTCTTTGTGATGCTCTTTGACTGTGTGCACTCTTTAAAAACAATATTTTTGAGGGCTTTTATTGCCTTTTAATGCATAGTGTCAGCTGTAGAGAGACAGGAAAGGGTGGAGTGGATAGAGAGAGGGGGGGGGTGACACGCAGCCAAAGGCCACAGGTCAGAGTCGAACCCACGGCCGCTGCAGCAAGGACTCAGTCTTGGTACATGGGGCATCAGCTACTGTGTGCACTCTTAACCACAAAAACATTTTTTTCCAGGATGCAGTACAATAGTATATTTCGGTGTCTGTGTTTTTCAGTTGAAATGACCATGTATGTCATATAACAACACACTACCCAGCCCCCGCACCTGCGAAGGACATTTAATGTGGCCTTGAGGGAATGGAATTTCCGTTAATGTTACAAAAATACATATGGCTATTGTTATTTTAACTGAGAGTACCCAAGACAACATCTACCACAATATGTTGTATTGTTTAGTTGATGGAACATTTCCTCCTGTGTCTAGTAAAATCGTGTTTGCCACTAAAGAAAGTCGGAAAGTATTTGGGCAGTGATGTGTTTGCGATTGTTTTGGCACGTTAGATTTGAAATGAAACAACGATTGAAAGGTTTAAAAGTGGATTTCAACTTTTAAAGGGTTGTTTCAGTCAAATTGCAAAATAATATTGTTATTTACTTTTACTTCAGTGGCATCTATCTAGTGTTTTTATTTGCCCAGGTTTGGAGCTACATGTCTCACGTCTCATGCCTAATAGAAGCTAAACTAAACATCCTTCAGTACATCTCTTTGTACATTCAGGTCCTGTCTCAGCATTTCCTCCAGTGTACAGATGGGTCCTATAAAGACCATCAGTCTCTCTCTGGTTGCCACACTGCATCTATCACATAAAGAGAGGAAAGCTTGTTAAGCCCCCTCACCACACACACACACACACACACACACACACACACACACACATATACACACATATACACACATATACACATCTTTTCATTTTGCTTCAGTTTCTCCCGCTGTGTTCTTTTTCTTTTGTTTGGAAGTGTTCAGACCTAATCATCTATAATGAGTACACTCCACTCAGTCTATTCACAAACCTTTGCTTGTGCCAGGACAAGGGGAACTGGGGGGGGGTTTGGAGTTGGGGTTGGCCAGAAAAGGGAAGAGAGAGTAGAGGAATGAGGCATGTTTATGCTTTGTTAGCCTTTGATTGAAGGTTGGACCTTGTATGTTGTAGACAATGTGCTTTTTTAAGAGTAACAGTAACACGGACTGTACATTGTGCTTTCAGTTTAGCCCAGGCACTGCAATCATCTTCCCCAGTGTTGGTCTAGTCAAAGAAGCCAGTGGAGGCAGACTTGAGTGAAATAATTGTGTAATTTTTCATAACAATCAGCAATTTATAGTCATATTGCCTCAGAGCTGGATTGGTGATGCTTCCACTTATATAATTTTCTTCTCTGGGAACCAATTTCTACTGGAAGCTGGTTAACTATTCACACTCTCTATGGATGTGAATAGTAAAGGGAGTCGGTTCTGGAAGTGTGCTCTACTGTCCTTTTGTTTTTCTATAGGTTTTTCCACATTCTTCTATACTATGTCTCCGTGGTCCTGTCTTCCTGTAATAATACTGTGTATGCATCCAACCAGGGAAGGACCAAAAGACAGTCTTTGTTTAAAGGGGTAATTCTAGATTTTGGTTATTTTGTTTCCGTCCTAGATACTAAGCAATTATCACTGTAAAAAATCGCTGTTTCCAGTACTGTCACATATATTTTCTAGGATTTTCTATTGATTAAATTAGTTTAATAAAAGTTTCTGCCTTTTTAAAAAAAATCTGTATTCCAACTACCCAGTTCTTCTGAAACCCTGCCCTATTCTACAAAGAATCATTTAATGTACTTACAACTGCAGTAAAGTAACATACTAAGTGCAGATCCATCTACAGACAAACATTAGCAATACTGGAGAAGCATATGAGGAAAAAGCATATGGAAAAAACAACAGATGGGAAGAGAAGTCCAAGCCTAAGATTTGTCTACACTGGCCAACCTGATCGACTGTAAAACATTTTACAACTCTGTGGGGTTCTGAGGAAGAACCGCTAAAAGAATGCAAGACACAGACAGAAACAGTATACATATGGAAGCACAAGTCAAGGTTTTTTGAGATACCACAATGGGTGGTTGAGAATGAGTTAAGATCCTGTGGTCCTTCCAGACAAACCAGCTGGACATGTGGTAATGGACGAGGAACAGAAAGTGGAGCGAGTGGTAGTTTGAGCTGTCTTGAAGTGACAGCAATATCAATAAGAAGGAATATGAGAAGCAGGAGAAATACCAGTGAAGGGAAAAGTGATCCCAATAGTAGAGGCATGTGACGCTGTGAACATAAATTTAGGAGATTCCAGTCACCAAAAGACTGCAACTAAACCCTACCTGATTCTGTCAGGAGTTTTGTTCCAAGTACTTTTGTGGGTGGTTTAATTTTTAGGGCTATGCACTTAATTTAGATTTATGCTATGTATCTTTGCATACACAGTCGAGGCTGCAGGCTATTCCTTCGACCCACCTTTGAAGGATCCTACCACTAAATTGTGACGCCACTATACTTCTATGGCCTTTCCCTTAATGCCACCATCAAGTCAGACTTAATTTATGTATGCAAATGTTCTGTGATCTACACATAAGCTCTAACTGGAGAGAATCTAATGTGTAATGTGAAAGGGGTTGCTTGTAGTGAACCAACAGAGGATTATTAACAGGAACATTAACAGTTCCCCTCAGGTCTAAGGAGCATTTAGCATCTTTCAGCTTATTGTTTTGGTTTACGGCCCACCACTTTACTGTTTTTGATTCACGCTCACAGCAGGCAGGAAGCTTTACTGTACACTACCTGTCCAATGCCAAAAGACAGACAGGACAAGTTGGTGACTAGCCGGTGAACAAAGTGAACGTAGTAAAAGATTAGATACTTCCTTGAGGATTTGACTGAGATCAACAGTTTTCCAGAAGTGTGGGCTAGAGGGTTTCAGACCCCGTTAGAAAAGCTGACGAACACTAAGTCTGAAGCATACTGAGTCCCTCAGGAGAGTTATTAGTTCTCTAGTTCAGTTGTGCAATATGGTGCAATTGTAATACTAAGGTGCTTATTCGCTGCCAAACCAAAACTCCTTTTCCATCAATTTCTCTTTCAATGGTTGAAATGGGCTGCCAATGTAGGACAACCATTTAAAATTTAATATAGCCTTTAATTCAATTCAATTCAATTAAATTCAATTTTATTTTTATAGCGCCACAATTCATAACAGAAGTTATCTCAGGACACTTTTCAAATAGAATAGGTCTAGACCGAACTCTTTAAAACATTTTTTACAGAGACCCAACAGTACCACCATGAGCAAGCACTTGGCGACAAGGTTAACCCACTTCACTGTTTCCCCGATTGATTCTGTACATCATCTGCTGAATGCCTTGAGATGCCTTGTGCCACGAGATGAAACATTTTGTAGGGAATGTTTGAAAATGGTGGGAATTTCTCAAATAGGAAAATCCCCCTCTCTTGTTCCTTTTGGATAAATAAACTATAGGAAGGCTAGGGTGCAGTCCCGCCCTTACACTACACAAAATTGGACTTTGTAGTGTACAGTATGTACCAGCAGGTGTATATATGTACAGTACAGAATATTTATGTCAACCTCCACAACAAAGACTGTGTGTGTGTGTGTGTGTGTGTGTGTGTGTGTGTGTGTGTGGGTGTGTGTGGGTGTGTGTGTGTACGTGTGTGTAAGCAGATTACCAGTACATCCACCTGTTTATCATTCTCTCTGCTCTCATTCCCATTGAACTGTTGGATCAGTGTGACCCACAACCCAGACACCACGGTAGACATTAAAGCTACCTTTGCTCCCCAGGAGACTCGACCCAGACATTTGTTTGTTTGCACTTCAGGGTACGCAGTGTCTCTGTTGGATCATTGTGGCTCGTTATGTTTTAACGCTGGATGGATATTACACCACAGGCCAGAACTATCCACTTTGATCCACTTTTTGATCTGCTTAATCACCATGAGAAATCTTATAGAGCGTTTCTGAACTGCATGATGCAAATAAAGACACAATAAAGAGTTACATAAATTTATATTAATAGCTAATCACATCAGGTGGTGGAGGGTCACACAGAGAGGCATTTCCAAAAAAAGTGGTGTGCACAAAGGCTTTCTGTTTTTACTTTTGCAGTTTTTCTTCTGCTGTTTGTCTTCTGGAAATTACATTTACACGTGTGGATACGAAATTCAAAAGTAGCACGTTTACCTTCGGTTGGCAAACAGTTAGAGAAATGAGGCCAAACATCATGGTTTGCATGCATAAAGGCATTGTTGTTGCTTAGTGATCCCTATTTAATGTTCATACAATGACTTCCATATGCAAAAAAAGGAATGCGTTTTAAAATTATAAAGGAAGTATTGATTGTTTTTTCAGGTTTCTCATCTTTCTCATCTTTCTCCTGTAACAATATTTATTTCCTGTAGTATTTACACTACAGTTGTTTGACTGTGTAACACTAAGAGTGAAGTTCCCTCGAGGCAAATTCTTGAGCTGCATCTCTGATGTGGGTTTACTGCTGAAGGATTACACGTGACAAAATAAGTTGGTGTATTGTTTCCATACAGGAAAGGGAATCCATTTCTCCTCATTGTTTTGTCTGTGTGTTAGTTGCATTGCCCAGAACTGTATCCTGTATATATATTCTATGTTGATTCACAGCACACAGTAAATTTCATGTTACATGAACTTTGATTATTGCTTGCTGTTCAAATGGTTATAAGATTGTCTTTTATTTTAGTGTAGGGGAGAGCTAGAACTTACATGCTTTCCACATGTTTCTGATGATGAATTCTCTCTCCTCTCTACTTCCTCTCCAGCCTGGGTCGGGGCCCTTGCCATGGGCATGATCTTTTTCTGTTCACCTGTGGTCAGCATGTTCACAGACCGCTTCGGCTGTAGGAAGACAGCTGTCAGCGGCGCAGTACTGGCTTTTATAGGGCTGCTCAGTACATCATTTGCAAAGTAAGCTGCTGTACATGTATTAAAGACATCACTTGTTCTCGCCCCGCTAATGTATTTAGGGCTGCCCATTACTAAAGCTTTTCTTAGTGGGGTTGTCACATGTTTACGATATTAATTTAATTATTTAAATGCGTATATATCTATATTTTAACAGCTGCTTGTTAAATGTTAATGAAAAATATGGTAATGACTCTGAATGTGTCAGAACAAGGAAACTGAATGCTTTGTTAATTTATTTCAACACAGTATAGCAGCACACAAATCGCATTGATCGAAATATATGTATAATGTTACAGTTTACAACGTAACAGTTACTTACAAATACATTTGCTACAAACTTGCTCCTCTGCTGTTTCTCAGTTGTATAAATAAAGAAAAGACATTTCCAGCTACAGTCTTTTCTTGAGATTAGGAAACAGAGTCACACCTTGGGAAAATATGTGTTTTCCAGTCAGATTGTTAGAAGAAGCATACTGTACTCCCTATTTGTAACTGTCTTGTTAGAGTAGTATGTTTAGAGTTAATTCACACCTTATTTTGGAACCCCTGGCCATTTTCCACCTTTTTGTGCTATTTTTGACACTTGCAGCAGCTGAACTGAGCCAGAGATAAGAATAAGAACAACAAGATACAATAATGAAAGTAAAACTATATTATAACATCAGGAAGCTGCCTCAACTCAGTCCAAACTTTGGTTATTTAATCGTCTACAAAAATCAGATATGAGCAGCCAGAATGACATGCCATTTAATGGTTTTCTTAAAATAAATAAGAAAGAATAGAAATTGTTGCTCGGCAGGTGCAGCACAATATAAGGAAGTATTAGAAAGTGCAAATATCAATAAAAAGATATCCAACATCAGCAAAATCCAAAATATGCACAATGCCAAAAATATTAACAGTACTCTAGCAAACATTTTACTAAATGAGTCTGATTATCATTTTTTGCTTGTTTATGTTTATGCATTAATTAATGTTATAGCAAAACAAATGGTCATATAATAACTAAAGCATTACTCCTCTTTTCTTTTCTTTTCTGTTGCAGCTCCCTAAGCCTTCGCTATTTCACATATGGCATACTGTTCGGCTGTGGCTCCTCCTTCGCCTTCCAGCCCTCGTTGGTCATCCTCGGCCACTACTTCCGCCAGCGCTTGGGCCTGGCCAACGGTGTGGTGACAGCCGGTGCCAGCCTCTTCTCCATGGGCCTCCCAGTTTTCCTCAACAAGGTGGTGGAACCTCTGGGCCTCAGCAGGACCTTCCAGATCCTTAGCCTCTTCATGCTGGTCCAGGCCCTGCTGGCGCTGATGTTCAAACCTTTACTGCCTGCTGGAGGAGGGATGGGACCCCCAGGCATGGGTCCTGGCCCTGCCAATCCCCAAACACAGTCAGGGGCCACGGCTCAAGCGGGGAGCAGGTGGAGCAGGGTCCTTGGTGGGGTCAGGAAGTACTTCAACCTGCGTGTTTTTCACATTGTGACATATCGAGTGTGGGCGTTTGGAGTTGCCACAGCTGTACTGGGCTACTTTGTGCCATATGTTCATCTGGTAAGAAAAATAATGGGAATGATGCACATTCTGTGTTAAATTTTCTAAATCTAAAAAAATACTCAGCTAGCTATGTTAGATTTTGTTTATATATTTGATAAATGTTATGGAAGATCACGTGTAGATACTAAGCTTTGTGTACTTAACAGTCCTCCATTCATCTCAGTGTGCTAGAACATTACTTTAAATGGAATACATACCATACCACATTCTTGTGTATTTGAGGTATGTGACTGTGAAAATTTAGGAATCCTCACCTCTTTATTGATATTATGGGATTATATAAACAGCATTATGGTGTTGATTAGTCAGAGTTGTATAATCATGTATCTGTCATCTATCAGTTCATTCGTTTTTAACCATTTTTGCATAAAGAACAGAACAACACAGATTTGCTTTCCTGCCCAAACTTAGTATGTAGTATACTAAGTTTATCTGACTTACAAGCACATTAAACAGCATGTAAACGTACCTGCAAATGTCACTTAATACTGTTTAGATGCTGGTTTGGTTCTTACTCTTAATCTACTACTACTCTAATACCACTGCTAACAACAAACTAGCTGCCCATGGTTTAAGCTACAGCACAAGTTTATTTACTTTGTTTGTCGTTCCGTTGCCGGGGCTTAGTCTGCCAACTTCAGTCCTTATTTTTGACTGCAAAAGGGGGATGACTAAATGTGATTTCTGTCGAACATCATGATGAAAAAATAAGTCCAATCACTCCCAAGTAAAAGTACATTAATCTTTCTTTCCATGATGAATATAATTACCAAAGTCTGCATACGACCTATGGCCGACTTTGGTGTGAGATAGTGAGATAGTGAAGGATGAAGATGAAGTGTAATGCTGCAGCGTGCAGCTGTAAAGTTGATATCCCTCTATCCAGATGTCGGATGTTTCAGCTCCGGCCTCCCTCTGTCAGGCCTGTTGTTTCAGGCCCGGGCCCAGATGTAAACACAGCCCCGGCCTTTGTATTGGCTCGACCACCTCAGGAAATCTCTCCTGTATGGCCTCTCTGTATCCCTAAACATTGCCTATCCTATGGCCATTGATGAATGTAGAGCCCTTCAAAGCAGAGCAAATATTTCACAAGGACCATCTTGTTCAGGAAAGACTTCAGAGGGCGGTTTAATGTTTTGGATCTGATTTGGGGGTCAGGGCTGAGGGGAGTGGGAGGGTCTGACCTACTGTATATGCGTTGGGTCTTCCTGTCCTGCTGTTCCAGAGGTCTGTGGATGAAGACATTTTGTTATTGTGAGACCTTGGCTTCAGGGTTATGGATAGACAATTCCTCTACTCCACCAAATACACACCCATTTGCTGAGTTCAATGACTTCTTAGGCATGGAGCTCAAAAACATATAAAGTTCACCAGCAGGTTGTGTCATACCTTTGCTAGCTCATTCATTATTGGTAGCTTCTGCTCAGTTTCATATGCAGCACAATCACATCTAAGCACCAAACACACTGTTGTTCTTCCTGTGTCTCAGATCAACTTTGTGAAGGAGCAGTTCAAGGACACCCAGAAGGAATGGGTGCTCCTGGTATGCATAGGAGCTTCATCTGGAGTGGGACGCCTCGCTTTCGGCAAAATTGGCGACCTCATTCCTGGTCTTCAAAAGATCTACATGCAGGTGAGGAAATGTATGAAATGTGGGTTGTCCACTTTTTCTTTAATGTTTTCCATGTTTCTGTTAAAACTCATGGTACGTATGCCCTGCCTCGAATAAATATGACTGAATATCTGAGTCATCCAAAACACTATAAAATTTAAACTCGCCCATAGCATCCCCCGGAATCATATATTGAGATGCCATTTTTGTTGTTGGGAACGTAGATTAGTTTGCAATACAAGCAAAGAGCCACCTCACTCAATCTGGATGGTGTTAATCAAGCGGGTTGTTCAGCAGAGGGAGTTGGAGATAAATTAATTAAAATTTAAAAACCGTGGGCGACATGCATCATCATGTCTGTGTGATATTAAAACACAAAAATCTATGTTTTTAATGCTCCTTTGCCAGTATTAAGGAGTTATATTGTGCAGAGATAGTGTTTTCCATTGAAAAGGACAATTTGTTTACAGCACACTGCTCAATAATTTCTCTCCTGTTGCCATAATAAAGAAACTGCCTGTGAGAGTCTTTTCTCCAGAGTTGAACTTTCTTGTACAATGTGGTAATTGTAAAGGGGTTAAAGTAGCTTTTAATTAGTTGTTGAGGCACAGAACCCTGCTTTACATTTCACAGTGTTAAACTCATGAACTCTGAGCTCAATGTAATGGTTGACTGCTTAGATTTGCATAAACAGGCAGGCAGCCTTCGGTAGCAGCTGACAAAAACACAAAGCACTAAATTCCTCAGCCTATAGCACAGAGATGTTATTGAGATGTCATTCTTTGTATTCCTTTAGCTTAGTTATATCTCCACATAGCATTTAATATATTAATCAAACAGCAGACAGTACCAGCCAATGTCAAACTGAGCTGAAGTGGCAGCTACAGTAATCTAAATATCAGCACTTGTTGATGTTTGTAATAATAAAGTCAGTTTATGTCAGAGACAATATTTTCCAGCACTTTCCAGCACTTTCAGATCCTCTTCTGTTTGGCTAGCTGTTGACAGGCGAATCAGCTCATCTTTGGCACATTTTTTAAATATGTAGCTTTAGTCTTAACGGTAGCTGGAGGGTGTACTCTGTCGCACAAGTAACAGAATGTTCACAATGAGGACAAAAGGCCTGGAGGCCAGTTCTCCTTGTACAAACAGTGATAGAAAGGATAGAAAAATGCGCCTACTGAAAGCAGGTAAATTCTCCCCTCTCGTATTGCTTCTGTTAGTCATGGCATGGCATTTAACAGTAATAAGAGAGGGACTTAAAGCTTGTTAATGCGTTCTTGCTGTCTGTTTCAGGTGGTGTCCTTCATGGCTCTGGGCCTGATGTCTATGATGATTCCTCAGTGCTCGGTGTTTGGGGGGCTGGTGGTCGTGTGTGTGTTCCTGGGGCTGTGCGACGGCTGCTTCCTCACCATGATGGCTCCCATAGCGTTCGAGCTGGTCGGGCCCATGCAAGCTTCACAGGCAATAGGCTACCTTTTAGGCCTCATGGCTCTTCCCATGACAGCTGGTCCACCCATCGCTGGTGAGAAAGCTCTTTTCCTGTTCTTTTTTGGCCCGGTTTTTGCCACAATACAGCACTGATTTATATTGTATAATCCAGAATGAGCTTGCTGTGATCTGGCTCCTTGCACTGTCTTCAGGATGTTGGCAGTAACCGCGCACAACAAGTTGATTGATATTAGCAGAGTAAAGATAAAACAAATGTAGGGAGTAAAAGGGAGAGCAAGACAAATGTGTGGCAGGATGGATTGTACAGCAGATTGTATTTAGAGAGGTTTGGGCTCGAGGCCAACTGCAGGCTGTCTCTGGGGATTTGTCTACCAGGAAATAAAAGCACATACAGGGAGTGCTCAACTCGCTTTATGTCTCCTCTACCTCCTCCCTCTCCTCTCCTCGTTCTTCGCTCTAGCTCTCTGATAAGTGTATAGAAGAGCACTGAGGGCAGAACATTAATTTGATGACTCAGGAACCCCCATGCTCTCTCTTGCCAACCTCTTTCTTTCAGATTCTGGCAGTTGTTATTAATGCTTTGAGATATTGGTCCAAACTAAAATTCTCAAGCTGTTGAATTTGTAAAAACAGGCTCTCATAATTTTTTTTTATTTCAAGATGTTATGGATTATGTACTTGGACAAAGCAATATATTGATATTTATTAATTGCATATCCAAACCTATGTCCTCACAGGAATAACCATGATGATATAGTTAATCTGTTAAACTATTTTGAACTGTTAGTTGAGCAAAAACAAACCATTTACAGATGTCGCCTAATTTGTGGATTAAATATATTATTTCCAAAAGCCAAAAATATTCCTTTCACAGTATTCAACTGGTGTTCGCGTTTGTGAATGTGTGATACAGTCAGGCAGCAGAAACATTTAGGCTTTAAGGAGTTTTGTTTAGAGGAAGAAAATGCAATTACCTTGTGCTCCCTCTTGTTGTTCCCTACAGTTTCTGCTCATTTTATGTCTGAAAGGGGTTTTTCTGTTTTTTTGTGACTCCCATCCCTGTCATATAATAGGATTAATGCCACTGAGACTAACTAGATAAATTATTGCATATGCTTTCAATTTTTCAATGTTATCTTCTGTAGTTAAACCAAACGTGTAATTTATGTGTGAAGTACTGCACAGGGAAATTAGATATTCTATTGAATATTGGCTCCTCGAAGTCTTAATGAGATTATCGCTGTGTCAACATGTGTTCAGTACAGTCTGTACAGTTCATGAGGAATGCATATGTTGCATGCAACAATGTGTTAAGTTTCCCCTCCCCTCCACAGCTCCCAGTCACACTCGTGGTGATCAAACCTAGTGTGTTAAACTTGACCTTGTTTTGTTTTTACTGTAGATACAGGTTACAGGTTTATACAGGTTTGCCTCAGCTCAAATATAGATAAACATATATCTGTATAAACTACAGACAGGGCGAGATGTTATCGTGGTCACATCTTATGTTGCCACTTATATTATATATTATATATATATAGGTGGGGCCCATTTTTAGACAGGCTACAGGGCTTTAATGAGCCAAAACAATGGCCAAGTCACAGTGTACTGACAAACACATGAGTACACTTCTACATATCAGCAGTGATATGTAGAAGTGAAACATTAAACCACAAGGGGTCAGCAAAAACTAGATTTTGGGTGCTGTTATGACGTGCCTAGTGGAATAGGTCAACACAAATGAATACTTTCATGCCTGTGTGTTGTGCACAGCTGGAGCCAGGACGTTATTAGCTTAGCTTAGCATAAAAGTCCAGAAGCAGTGGAAACAGCAAGACTGGTTCTCTCCAGACTTCAAAATTATGCTTGCTGGAAACTCAAAATCACACTCATTAACATGCTGTATCTGTTGTAACCATACACAAACAGTAAAAACAACGGTATGTTTGGTATTTTAGGAGGAGTTAAGTGCTGTTACTCTTAGCTGACAATAACCGGGTGCAAGAGTTTCAGGACTCCTGTCATCAGTTAGGTTGTGGTATCGTGGCTGTGCATAGACCTCTTTAACACGTCCTGCTGCAGGCAGAACTTTAGTCATCAAGAAATATATACTATAAAATTTCTAATATAATGTATACAAAAATAGAATTAACTCCCCCTAAAACCACACGTTGCCATTTTTACATTTCTGTTTGTGTATGGGTTACATAAACGAAATATAAGATGTTATTTAGTGAGCTTTAGAGGTGCAGGTTGGTGTATTTTAGACTTTTGACAAGCCAGGCAAGTTGTTTCCTCCCACTTCCAGACTTTAAGCTGAACTAAAAGTGCGCTTAAAGCATATTTTCTGAATGAGCATCCTTCTCTTTGGTCTTTTTTAAACACAAGTATCTGTCTGCCTCCACTGCCCAGGTCTCCTACATGATTACTTTGGGAACTACACGGTGGCCTTCTCCCTGGCTGGGGTTCCTCCTATGGTGGGGGGCGTGGTGCTGTTCTTTGTGCCCCTGATACACCGCAGGCTCCAGCGAGGCCAGGCAGCGTCACCTGAGGAGACATCCACAACTGCCCACATGCTGCCCACCGCCCAACCAGCGGGGGAGTCCAAGAGCTGCTCCAATGGAGACATCCTGCCTGGCTACACTGATGTAGAAACACACATCTGAGTCGCTACCTACAAAGGTGACATATTTTTAAACAAATCAAAAACAGATCATGTGCATTTATCAGGAAGTATGTAAATGCATACGTATTTTGCTTATATTTTACTTTTTTCTTTTTTCCAGGGATTCAGCCCACCAGCACATTTTTCTCATCCTTAGATTGCCCTCCTCCCAACCAGAGCTCCTAACCATGGACTTCCTGTTGGCTGACCTTTAACCCTCTCACCCTCCTGGACTCTCATTGTCTGTTTGTTATTTTCATGTGGAGAGAAATCGAAAAGGCTGGCTTAGAAGCCACGAAGAGGACGAAAAAGAAGGCACATCAGCGTGGGATGATGGACACGTTTAAGGAGGATAAGCACAACACAGTCTCAGCTCAGATTGTCTGATCCACGGGGACTCTGTAGTAACACATACCTCCAAGAGGAAAGAAATAAGAGATTTTAACTGACAGCGGTAGTTTCTGATCTTACACGTTTTATCTTGCTACCACAGCTTTTTGAAGCTGTGAAAAACACTATGCTTTGTTTTTAGATTCTATATAAACACGCTGTTAAAGATAAGAGCTATATAAAGTAAGAATTAATGAAGGGATACATTCACGCTATCTTTATGTAGTACCTCATGTATCTAATTTTTTTTTAACACAATGCATTTTTATTTAGTTTGTGTAGCGGAAACACAATCTCATCTTGAGTGATTTGCAGGTTTGCGTTTTTCTATCCTGCTGTTTCCTGCTGTGACAAGAGAAACATCTGTTGTAAATGTCACAGGAGGCACCAGACAGTTCTTCTGAGAGATCAGCCACCAGGCACAATCACCTCAACTCAACCGCGCACTGTAACGCACTGTACTCACACCCAGGGTCCAAAAACTTCAACAACTTAAACTTCTCTACAGGCCTGCCTGCATGGGAGCCAGATGTGTGATTGATGTGTGATTGTGGCAGCTGCTGATTCGTATGCCATGAACCGTAGGGTGTCACATTTTTGTCACGGTTTTTAATATAGGTCAGTGATTTTCCAGTTTGTGGCAGGTTAACGTATGCAGTCAAAGTCGGTAGGGGTGAGTTGTGAAAGTGGCGCATCCGCTACCTGAATTCATGAAACGTGACACTTCAGTTGATACAAAGTCTTCTTATGAGTCTGTACAGCCTTAACTATCAGCATTTGTCTTTTCCAATCATCAACAGTTTTTATTAGCCTTTTTAAATTTTTAGCAGGGTGATAAAACCACATAAACTGTGTTTGTTACAGCTTTGAAAAATAATCCAGAATAGTTTTCTTGTAGTGTGCACACTGTATACTCGTTCAGTTGGAAAGCGTTGGAATCATGCAGGCCTAACGGGAGATTCAAAGCTGTTGGTAGCACAGTTTTTTGCCAATTTAAGAAAAAGGCATTTTGTATTATTTTATTCCACACTTTTCCTCTGCGCACTGACTGCACCTACATTTTTGATGGTAGAGCAGTTACATAATATGAAACTACTATGTTACAATCTATCGACGAGAGGGGACTACTGACATTAAAGCTGCCAAATGGCCTGAGCCCTCGTGAGGCCATTTTACAGATAAACCAATCAATTTGCTGCTTCGGTTTAGCTTTGTGTTACGAGGGCGTCACTCACTGTGTGTAGTAATTTAACAAAACATCACAGCCTCGTTGAAAGGACAGTTTGCAGTTATTATGTTTCATAAACATTTGGACCACTTACCTCTGCAATCTTAGATTACAGGTTCTCTTGAACAATGAACTTTAATGAACAGATGTGAAGTAGAGCTGCAATAATTGACTGTTCGAGTTACACTCTGTGGTTATATGCATAACTGAATAGCAGAGAGGGGAATTGGTACACAGCAAGGAAGGAAATGCTCTGGTGTTCAGGTGGTATTCCTTTCTGTCCATTCCCCTTTTTGCTTTCACTGCCATTATTCAGTCAGTTTCTGTGTTACACTTACACTTTAGAGCCTAAAAGCTACACAAACCTCACTGCTGAGTGTAGTTTTTGGGGGGTAATGCTATAGGACATACATACACCTATACCTCAGTAATCAAACAATCCTCAGCAATCTAGTGGAACCTGTTGACATTCTTCATTACTTTATCGTTCTGTGTATTGGTTTGTTTCAATCTGAACCGTTCTCAGAGCCACAAAGCTGCCAAACGCCTGTTTTAAATCCACCTCACTTTCTCCTAAACCTCGTTAGTGTCTGTTTAGGCACCACAAAACTGTGGAAAGGTCAAACTTCCATTCCCCGTAATCCAACAGTTTAGAGATTTTATCCTTCCTCCTTATTTTGCCTTCATATCCATATGCTTCTTTGTTTTTGATCCTCACCGTTCCTGGACTCTCTTACCGCTTACACTACGCATTATCATTATCTTCATTACAGCCTCATTTCTGTGTCTGTAATTGAGGAAATGCAGTCATATTAATGTTTAATGTCCTTAACTAAAGATAAAACTGAGCTAAAGAGGCACTTAATTATAAGCAGAGTTTTATACAGTAATTAAAGCATGTTTCAAAACAAAAAACATAGGCCTCTAGTTTGACTAGGGTAGTGTTACATTTTGGGCTGCATGAGTTGAGTTAACTTGAGTTAAGTGTTAATGCCCTCCTGCTAAATAAATACTGGTTAACTGTGAAATGTATTTAATTTATTAATTGTTTTAAGTTATGAGGGTTGCAGGAGATGCTTTCTATAAAACCGCAGAACTGCATGTAAAATCAGAAACCTATATTCCTAACAGCTGATTTTCAGTTATTTGCACAGCGATGTAAAGATGATATTTCTACAGAGATGAAATAAAGAGGCAACATTTGGTGATGGGTTCATATTCTGTTGCACTAACTTAAAATTGTGTTTTTGCTCCACTGAAAAAACCAGCCCAGAGTGTTACTTACAAGTTGCACTAGTTTACTGTTGTCAAACTAGAGGCCTGTGTCACTGAAGTCCCACAATCTGGCAAATGAATGAGTAAATGAAGACTACTACAGAGGGATTATCCTCTGGCAGCCATATTGGAGGACCTCGTCCTTTTGCTAAACGATTGCAGAAGGTTGTGTTTCTATGCACGAAACGTATCCGTCTCAAAATTAAATAGAATTGCTCAGTTTTAGTGTTTTTTGACTGTGAACTGATGTTTTGTTTTTTGTTTTTTTCGGTATTGAATATGTCGTCTCCTTGTCAGCTTGTGGCTTAACATCACTGTTGTTTTCTAAAAGATATTTTTGAAATAGACACAAGGAGTAAAAAGCAAGACATATGAGTCACAACAGTTTGAAAACAAACCTGCCTTATAGTTACTGAACAGCTGTGATACAGCAGACCCACATTTGACCAGAGTTGATAGATTTGAGACACAACTGCAAAGCTTGTATAGTGAATTTTTCAGATCTTAACATGACTTTTTACTATAGTCATTGACAATCCTGGATCTTTTCTTAACGGCCTCCTCGAGCCCGACTCAGTTTCTGCTCAGAAGCAGCTTGAGTGCTCCTTTTTATTAGAAACATGTATCAACATATGTACTTTAAATACTCTGTAATGGTTTTTAATTAACCATGAATTGTTTTTATTGTGTTGGTTTGTTTTTCAGAATTGTTTTTTATTTGTTGTTGTTTTTAGTAATACGTTTCAATGACTGGAAAAAGAAAACGCTATGGGGTTCGGTGTTCAGATTTGAAATAATATATAAAAGTGAAGGAGCTGAATGGATGAAGAATGACGCAGTACGACTGGATGGTTGCATGATGCGTGCTGAACCAGTGTTTGGCTTGCCAAAGTCTTTCTCTATGCAGCGTCGCTGGGCTCGTGGTCAACTTCCTGTGACCGCTTCACCTTCTGAAGTCTGAACATGTCAAACTCTAAGCGATTAATGTTTACTTGGATGCCCCAAGTTTGCATTTGTCTCCTGTAGCATTCTCTGTAGCCTGCAGTAGTTTCAGGCCCAGCTGAACCTACAGTAGCCCCTTACCTAAACTATAAACTACTAACACTACTACATGTTTTATTGTTTTTATAATTAGAATGTTTTTGAGCTGTTGTTGGACTTTTCCCTGACAGTTAAAATGGTGAAAACGTTTATCTCCTGTGTTTGCTTTTCTTCACCTACAGTGTGCAGGTCAGAGCTACAGAGAGGCACATTTGGCACATTGAAAAGGCTCATATCAGACACTGGCTTACACATGGCAAGCTTAAGCTAGGAGGCACTATTAAACTGCCCTGTGTTACATTCTTCCAAATTTAGTGCAGAACAGGTCAAATTAACTAAAATCAACATGTTTATGTTGTCTGTTTAATAGTTAATATGTCATATTTACTAATTTAATTAGTTTTTAGTCAAATGTAGCTCCATTTCATTTAGCATTTGCTACCTGACTTGAAGTCAGACATAGCAAAACTGAGCCTTGTTATTCTACTCTGCAAATGTGCCATTTCTCCGCGCCTCTGATCTCAACCTCTGCTTACCGCTTTTCCTCAGCCTGAAACTGTACAAACAATCTGTGAAACAGGATAGCTGAAGGTCTGTATATTGTGAAGCTGAGCCGTGATTTGCAAAAAGTCAACACCTCATATGGACCTCTTCCAGCAAGAATACTTTTTCAGTGCAGTTGCCAGTACCAGTCATCCTTTTTGAATTGTGTGTGAAGGAACTTTTTTTTTAATTGCTTTTAGTCACGCACCTGAATAATGTATAAGCCGTCATATGATCCATATGTTGTAGAACCCTTGTATTATTCATGCATATTTTTCTTATCTTGACTGTAGGCATCATTTTTTCACAGCTATAAATACTTTTTCTGGTGATGTATCTGCATTTATATTTCTGTATGGTCACCAGGGCAATAGTTTGGCCCTGGCCTTCCCACAGCCTTACTTGTTGAAATATGAGGAATATTTCAGTGCGGGGCTCTGCTAAACTTTCCTTCTTTAACCTTAAGTAAGGTTGCTGCAGTTAAACCTCTATTGCCTGTCTTTTCTTCTTAAAGCTGTCATTCTCTGTCCTCCTTACACAAGCTATTTTTTTTAATATAAATACATAGCCTACTTCTCTTTTAGTTATTTTACAAAATGTTCTAACAAGGCCAGTGATGCCGCAAGATCTGAAATTAAGTCATGCTGCTAGAAAAAAATTAATGTAATTTTTGTGTTTTTGTCAAAGTAATTTTGAATCTGTATCAAAAGAGGCACATTTTTTCTATCAAACCAACAATAAAGATGTAATATGAAAACAACCCATGCTGTCATTGCCAGTCACTCTTTTGTTGTCTGTGTGTTTTCAGTCCTCAACTGCTCCACTTCCACTCACGTACTCGGGCTGCTCTTGACAGGCAATCATGTTGGAGATTAACCCCCTTTTGGATGCATAAAGACACAGCAACGACACAATGGCACAAGTCAAAGGAGAGACGCAATACTCTTACGTTTGATCTGCTCATTATCACCACAGCAACGTTGTTATTGAGTCAGGCATGAAGTCCTCCCTTGACTCCCCATTCCCCTATTTAACCTCAGTATCTCACAGTCAGGCAGCCAATCATGCTGAATCTCAAAGATCACGCTCCACTGAATCCGTTCCAAGCAGCAGAGCTCGTTATGTACATACAGGGAACGACTGTGTACATGTTGCAAGGCAAAGAATAAATCACTTGTTGAGCCTGGGCCCTGGGCTCAAAGGCAGACTCAACAAGTGATTTATTTATTAAGAATCATCCTTAACTGGGTCCCTATACATCAAAAGAAAATCTTGTTATTAAGCTTTCAAATCGCAAATAAAGCCTAAACTCTGTAAGTTGGATGGATGTTGGATCATGCACATGTAATCATGTTAATTTCCCTTTTGTCTGACCGAGCTGACTCCTGTACAATGTAACTTTTTACTGAATGAACCCTCAGCCTGATTGCATAAACTAAGGCACTGTTGCCCACCTGAATGGAGTTCTTGACATAGCCCCTTGTCTCGAGATTAGAACAAAGACATGCAAGCTGCAAACCAAAAGAAGCAACCTCAACCAGACAGCCAGATAATGTTTAATGTAATTCTGAAAATCTTAACTTCTTAAGGTGGATATTTTGTATGTGTATTAAGCCTCTGTGTGTTTCGGTTCTGTTTCATTCTAAAATCATTGGTACAAAATAGTAATTTTAGGCTACGTATACAAACTTCTGCCTCAGTTGTTTGTGCATTGAGGCAAATAACCAGAGGAACTTTATCAGCAAGTGAAATATCAAAGTAGATTTAAACACTTTTTCTTAAGGCTAAGAGATTTAGGGTTAAAAGCAATGAGTTAAAAGGATACAATGTACAAATGTAGACTCTCTCTCTCTCTGGTTATACATACTGGCCAATAAGTGTCGCCATACAGTGCAGGAAACTCATGTAACACTGTCAATTGTCCAGCAGGGGTCCCTCCACCCTCATTTCTGTGAGTGGGGAATATTGATTGTTAAAGCATGTGGACTTCTACAAGGTGCTCCAGAATCTGAGACCATAAAGAGTTCAAAGCCAATGATTTGGAATATACTGTATTTCTATGTGTTGCTGCATAAGAAACTAATATGCTAATAAAGAATAAAAAATGACTCTGCAATTTAAGAAGTGTATCTTTTCAAAACACTAGTCAAAGACATTTCAGTGGTTCTCAACCTTGTTGGTGTTAAGGACCCTCCAAATTCATGATAATATGAATCGCTATTTATTATTTTTTGTGGGGTAAAAACGTAAATATGTAGGCTCCCTAATGAGTAATTACTTTTCATTATCTGAGCATGCACTTTGCACAGGAAGTCAGTTAAGAGAACTTGAAATTTGACAACTGGGCAACCGTGTTCTAATCAATGAAACAACAGTGAAATTAAAATATTCCCCATTTTTCTGGGGGCCCACTGAAAACCCCTTCAAGGACTCCTGACCTCAGGTTGAGAACCACTGGTTTAGGATAGATCTAATTACAAGTAGATATTCATCACAAACTGACTACAGCTTCATAATTGGAGAGACCTGATTTATGCATCCACTCACAAAAAAACCCCAAAACAAATTAAAGCTGCAAGCAGCATTGGGTAGGACCTCGCCATCTCGCCACGTTGGGGCCTGCACGGCGGGCGATGTGGGACGTGTGTGCCGAGTTTCATGAGGTCTTGAACCTGTTTAGCCCCCACAAAATGCAATCAAATGTTAAAACAACAAGGTGATGCTCACCGTGTCGCTACGGTTCAATCTGCTGGGAGAAATACATTAAAGTGTAATACATTCCACCACTAGGTGGTGCTCTCATTATTAGTGAATATTATCACATAGATGAGTTCAGGGCGGGACTCTTATCAGACAATGAAGTTTGGAGCCGAATGGACAATGTACACTCAAGTGATAGCAAACTCATGTTTTGTGGTGGTACATCAAAATTTTACGCCACAGACACGCACACTCACCGCAGTCATCACATATCATCAACAATGTGTTTTGCATTTTATAAGTAAATTTCAGCTGGATCTGATCATCCTGCTAGGAGTAGAACATGAAAGTATAAAACGTGATACTTCCTGTTGCCACTAGGTGGCGCTCTGACTATTACTGAATATTATCACATAGACGTGTTCAGGGCGGGACTCTTATCAAATGTGAAGTTTCGTTGAGATTGGATCATGTACGCTGAAGTTATGACAACTTCCTTTTTCATGGCGAGTCGTTGAAATTGGACACCACACCACGGGCACGCCGTTTGACGTCACAAATAGCACAATTTTTCGTATTGGTGTTTACCTCATACTGACCAAATTTGAAGTCGATCCGATATATTCCCTAGGAGGAGTTCGTTCAAAATTTGTGTGCAAATCACCAAAAATGACCTCGGAATTCAAAATGGCCGACTTCCTGTTGGGTTTGGGTTATGGGTCCAAGAGGCTTTTTTAGTTGTCCCATCATGATACCAGAGCCCGTCTTCGGAGAGCTTGGCCACTCCCTGTTAAGTCCCATTGTACCAAATTTTGGTTGCAGTTCCAGCAGAGTTCCACTGGGGGGTGATTGCCCATCAGTGCAGAATGAACGGGAGCAGATGGAGCTAGACGGCTAAATTTGTCTCTTTCACCTGATTGTCGTTGAGAAATCTCAGATTTGATTGTAGTTTTTGCAAGTTCAACATGGGTTATAGGTCGAAAGTTGAATGAACGAGTACTTATGTCCTTTCGATTTCTTACAGGACGAGTTGTTGTTGCCCATAACACGCTAGCATTCTGCTAATGAACGCTGATTGGTCAGTGAAGGACTGATTACGACCAGAGATCCCGCTTGATGGCATCGTGGCATCCGAAGCGGGACATAGATATTTCGGCGTGGTGTTTAAAACAGCAAAACAAAAACTCTTTCTAGCACGTGTATTGACAGGGAGAGCCTAACCTGTGTCAGCTGTGTTGTCGATGTCTCAAGAGAAAAGGAAGTGCCGAGCGCGGAAGCACAAAGTGACTCAAGGCTTGCCGTAAAGCAGTATCTCTGGCCGTACGATGTGTATGACATCATTGACATTTTAAAAGACTTTTTAAAGCAAATAAGTGACTCAAAAAAATCTAACACCCAGCAATGTGTCATTTCTTTGCTTCCCCTTTCGAATGCAACATTCAAATTACTAGACAAAAAATTATATCCTGAGAAAAGTGGATTTTGAGGGTATAGCTCCATAGAGCTCCATTCATCCTGCACTCATCCTGTGAGCGCCCTCATATGGAACCAGAGTGGAACTGCAACAGTTCAGAAGCCGGAAGTTTACAGAGAGTGGAAGTTCTTCCCTTATTAGACATTCTCTGATGATACCCATGCGTACCAATTTTCATACATGTCGGTCTTACGTGTCTTGGGGGGCTGATTCTGGGGGCGTGGCTAATCCATTATGCGGCTCCCATCTGCGAGACCAAGACAATATGTTACGTCTTCGCCACGATTGAATTTTGTGCAAAGTTTCATGAAGTTTTTGACATGGTTAGCCCCCCAAAAGGTGTTCAAATGTTAACAAAAAGGCAGATTTTCGCCACGTCACCATGGCAGCATGGTTCCACGAAAATTATTAAGATTCATAAGATGTCATCGTCATCGTCCTAAAGGACCGCTGACAGAATTTCAGCTGGATCTGGTCAATCTTCTAGGAGTAAAACATGAAAGTATAAAACGTGATACTTCCTGTTGCCACCAGGTGGCGCTCTCACTGTTACTGAATATTATCACATAGATGTGTTCAGGGCGGAACAGCTCAAAAACGTGAAGTTTTGTTGCAGTCGGATCATTTATGCAGAAGTTATGACAACTTCCTTTTTCATGGCGAAGGTTCGAAATTGGATGCCACGGGACGCCACGCCACCTCCACGGTGTTCGATGGAATAACGTAAATAGCACAACTCTTAATCGTGAATGTCTCTAGATGGGTGTGTCCAAATCTAAAGTCGATCCGATAAATTCCCTAGGAAGAGTTCCTTAAAATGCAATGGCGAAAAACGGCCACTAAATCCAAAATCGCCGACTTCCTGTTGGGTTTGGGGTATGGGTCCAAGAGGCTTTTGCGTACCAATTTTCGTACATGTCGCGTCTTGGGGACTGATTCGGGGGGTGGGGCTTAGCCAACTGGCGGGGCCCGTGCACAGGGACAATTGCATACCTGAATTTTCGCTACGTTTGAATTTTGTGTAAATTTCCATGAGCTTTCGAGCATGTTGCGGCGGCCAAATAATAATTCCTAGAGATACACGAGGGACCTCCCAGCGGTCGCTGGCTCGGTCTCTAAAAACAATCCCACAATAATCAAGTGAGTTTTAATAATTTCTTTCTTAGGTCCAAGGGTATCTCGACCACACCAACCGTGTGTCATGCTCCATACTAGTACATTTGGAGTTTTAAAAAATATGATGCTTTTAGGAAGTTAACTAGTGTCGTCACACTGGAAACACACACACACACACACACACACACACACACACACACACACACACACACACACACACACAGGTGTTGTAAGTGTCAACAAGCAGAAGAAAAAAGAAGAAGAAAAGGTCTATTTCTGGTTTGTTTTATCTTACAGCCAGGGGCCTCTAGGCCCTCAGGGGGCATTAGGGCCATGGCAAGGAAGTGATGTAAGAGATGGTGTTAAAATTGTGGTCATTTTTTCTGTTGTGTTACTCTGTTTTCCTTCTTGCCACTTCGCAGCACTTCCTCTCTGTTGGCATTGCTTTACACTGTTGTTGCATATTAGCA